ATTAATTATTTAGGCATTTATTATAATTTAAATACTTATGTTAATTGAATTACTCGGCATAAGAATTGAATTATTTTTTAGTAACTGAATTACTTTTTAGTAATTGAATTACTTTTTAGTAATTGAATTACTTTTAAGTAATTCAATTATACTGGAAAATTAGTTCATTATTTTGAACTTGTAATTCAATTGTTTTATTTTTATGATGTAATTATTCTGGAAGTCAATGAACCTTTTGGTTAATCAAACAAATTTCTATTTGAAACTTGATTTATTTAATAAAAAAATATATAATTTAGCAGTGCTGTAACTAAAAATAAACAAATAAACATGGTAGGCGACCAAAATTCCGGCATTTTTTCCGTGATCTAAAAAAAATAATTGAAATTTTTACGGTAATCCAATTATTATGTAATTAATTCAATTACTTACTAAGTAATTGAATTCCTTGAGATACGTGCAAATCAATTACAAATTACGATTACTTCATATAAGTAATTCATAATCTAATTGAATTACAGTTACTGGGGAGTAATTGAATACGATTTTTTAATTATTTTAATTCAATTACCGACAGCTCTGATGAAATAAAAGTAAAAGAAGCGCCCACTTGAGTTTGTTCGCGCACTAAATTCATGCAATAACGATCCCTATATTTAGTTTAAATTTTTTGAATATCACACAAACATTTTTTTAATTGTAACAAAATAGGTATAGGAAAATTAAAACAACTTTGGTTGCACGTCATCAGTGACACCATGCGTCGTCTTATGGAGTTTGCTGATGGTGTGCAACCAAAGTTATTTTAATTTCCCTATACAGGGTGGTCCGAACTGTATTCCGGAAACTTCGGCAGCATATTCTGCGGATAAAAATAAGTAAAAAAGTTCGTATAAATATATGTCGTAAAATGCTTAGTTTTAGAGATACAGAGTGTAGAATTTTCATTTTTATTTCGATTTTTTTTAAAAAGTTTCTGAAGTAACGTCAATATTTGGATGAAAATTGGTGTCTGGGAGTTTTTTGACATGAGAAATTTGATTTTGATGTCAATATGACTCCTACTAGTAGAGGGCGCCACCTACATGTGTTTTAACTGTTTTGAAGCGTAATAACTTTTTGTCCGTACCTGTATAAAACTACCGAGCAAAAAAATATTTACATCTCTGAAACTTTTTACGTAAAAAATATCTCTTAGTAAAAATCGCTACGAGCAACTGTTCTTAAGATATTTAGAATGGAAATAGTCAATACATGTCATTATTGACGAAAAATAAGTTTTTATTTTTTTTAATTAATCATAAATTTTTCTGCAAAAAATTATAAAACATTTGAAATTTATGAATTCAGTCGAATAACTATTTAGTCAACATGTTTAATATATGTCAATGATGACAGGTATTGATATAATTTCGATTCCAAATATCTCGAAAAGCATTACTTGTAGCGATTTTTAACAAAAGGTCTCTTGTCACGTAAAAAACATCGTAAATGTTCATTTTTTTACTCAGTAGTTTTATACAGTACGGACGAAAAGTTATTACACTTCAAACCAGATAAAAAAAATGTAGGTGGCGCCCTCTACCAGTAGGAGTCATATTAACATCAAAATCAAATTTCTCATGTCAAAAAACTCCCAGACACCAATTTTCATCCAAATATTGACGTTACTTCAGAAACTATTTCGAAAAAATCGAAATAAAAATGAAACTTCTACACCCTGTATCTCCGAAACTATGCATTTTAGAACATACATTTATACGAACTTTTTGACTTATTTTTGTCTGAAGAATATGCTGCCGAAGTTTCCGGAATACAGTTCGGACCACCCTGTACAGGGTGTCCCATTTTGGTTGAAATCATACGGTATCTCCGTTATTCGTGAAGATAGAATGGTGCGGTTTGCACATACCTGTGCCACTTTTTTGTCAAATGGAAGATGCCGTAAACAAAATTTTCATTGCCCTCTTCGTTTCTGAGCTACAGGGTCTTTTTGAAAATTTTGCTATTTGGGACACTCCCCGTATCTCTGTTATTGTTAAAGATATTGAGACGGTGAAAACTGTTTATTGTAGAACTTTTTACGTAGAATACAGTGGTGTAGTGTGTTATTCTACGAAAATAATATTTTTAAAAATATGAACTAAAGTTATGTTTTATTAAATGGAACACCCTGTATATTTATGGATTATGTGATCTGGCTTGTTATAAGCTTCTCAAAAATATATAATTATATTAAATTATTAAGAGTAATACTGCTATCTGTCTCTTGTTTTATTTTGAGAGTCACTAATTAATTCTTTGTATATTAGGGAAACTTAAATCTCTACCGCTATTTGTAAATCTTGGAAGCTATCGTATCGGAACTTTTAAATATTCCTTTAGCTAATTTACGTGAAATATACTTTCAGCAAGATGGGGTTCCCCCTCACAACTTAACTTACAACGAAAATATTAGAATTTTGTAAAATTATTATTTCTCAAATCAATGAATTGGAACCAATGTACCCATATGATGGTCTCCCTGATTCCCGGATTTGTCTGTTCCCGATCTCTGATTTTAGGGATTTTTGAAATATGAAATGTATCGTGGCAACTAATACGATGTTGAACACCTGAAAAATGCTTCAATAATGCAAGCTTTTAAATATTTGCAAACCCCATCCCTTTATAATAAATTCCGTTATAAAAAAGAGAAAAATATATTTAGAGGTTCAGTGGTAACAGTTCAAAAGTAAAATATATCAATTCCAAATAAAATTTTAATATGTGCATGTCTATTTTAGTAAATACCATCTTGATTTTGTTATTTATCACGGCCTACTAATAAGAAAATGATATATTTTAAATATTACAGTAAATAGTGAAAATAAATATAGAGTGATATATATATATATTTGAGAAGCTCATATCAAAGCGGATCATATGATTTATAAATATACAGGGTGTTCCATTTGAAAAAACATAACTTTAGTTCATATTTTCAAAAATATTTTTTTCGTAGAAAAACAGACTACGCCACTGTATTCTACGTAAAAAGTTCTACAAGAATCAGTTTTCATCTTTTCGATATCATACATAATAACGGAGATACGGGGGCGGTCCCAAATTGCAAAATTTTCGAAAAGACCCTGTAGCTCAAAAACGAAAAGGATTATAAAAATTTTGTTGACAGCATCTTCCATTTGACAAAAAAGTGGCACAGGTTTGTAAAAACCGCACCCTTCTATCTTCACGAATAACGGTGATACCGTATGATTTCAACCAAAATGGAACACCCTGTACATTAAAATTACATTATATATTAAAAAAATACAATAAAAAATTGTCATTTATATATAAAATATAATTTAATAATAAATAATTTTTAATATACCTATGTTGTCACAATAAAAGAAAATGTTTATATCAATAATATCCGATCGAATGTTGAATACACCAGTAATTAATGAGGAAATTGCCAAAATCACACACCGATTATTCACAAAACACAACGAAATAAAAATTATTATTAATAGATACTGCATTTTCAGAAGAGAGATTACAGGTTACAAATAAATGTGAATCATATAATCTGGAGTAATGAAAATTTGCATAATTCTAACATATCTGATAACCATTTTTTTGTAAAGAGATATCATCATTATCATCGCTTTCAGCCTCCCTCACATATTTAGATATTCTCTTTGCAATTGGGTACAATTGTCTATTAGTATGTCGAAACCTGAGTCGCCCAAAAAATGTGTCAATAGATTTTACACTCTTGCCATGGAAGAAAAGCACGACAGAGTTTCCAGACATCACCCGTCCATCGACTCGCATCGCCTAACGTCGCTTACCTTCGGTGATCTATCGGGAACCGGTGTTTCAACGTTGCTGGCCCGTTGCCGAAAGACAAGAATAGATGAAACAATGAGCATAGATAAAAGTTTATTTGAGCAAAAAAAACGAAACTAAACGTTGCTTTGCTCTCCCTAATTAAAAGTTGGTCGCCGTCTCGTGCACCTCGGGCTGCGAATTTTCCCAGAAAAGCGATTTTTCCAACTTGTTTTCCTCTAATTAGCCGGCTAGCTCGTCTTCGAGGCGACTTAACTTTCCCGATTAAATATCGCCCCGAACTTCTTCGTCATTCGAAAGTTGGTATTGCATTTAGCGAAGGCGTTTAACAAGGGGCGCTGGCGCTGTTTCAAAGTGTCGAAGAGCAAAAGGAAAATAAAAAAATATGATAGAATCTAAATAGGGGCTTTACTCTAGTAGATGTAGATTAAAAAATGTCTATACCTATGTGGCGGATTCATCTCTCCAAAAAATCCTATAGCTCGTTCTATTTGGGTCGGTATTTACTAGTGATGGGCAAAACTGTTATTTTTAGATAACAGTTGAAACTGTTATAGTTATTTATAAAAAACAGCTTAAAATAACAGCTTAAAAATAACAGGTTTCTTTATTTTATTGCTAAATATCTGAAAGAATATGAGGCGGTCACCGCCAGGCGTATTATTACGATTGCAAACCGCTTAACGATTGCAAACCACTTTTGTCCCAAAAAAAAATAACTAGATAAAATCATTAGATACGTTTCTGAGCATCTAAAATGGAATTATAAGGATATCGTTTAGGATGTCCATTTTTTTATTACAAGAAAACGTCAGTAATCGCGATAATTCAAAAACTTAAGTTTTTAACACATAACACGCGATAATTTATGAACTACCTTAGATATTGACATTTTTTTTTTGTTTTAAAGTTCTTATCTTTTACAAGGTGTTTAAATAAGAAAAATTCGATAGGCTTGTTTTTTTTTCATTCAAAAATATAAAAAAACCATCCATACTTTTAGTGCATAGCAATTTTCAGCAATCGTGTAACTTTTTTATTTATAAAAATTTTAACATACTGTCTGGGAAGAAAATATAGCAAAAATATTATTTTTAATTTGATATAACTTTAAAGTCATTCCTAAAAATCAAGGTGGAAGCAAAGTAAATAAAACAAAAAAATAAAAACATAAAATATATATTTATTTTGTTCCAAATGATTTCTGTGCAAAAGCTGGAGGCAATTTCTTCAATATATTTAGAGGGTTCATTTCCACCACTACCAATTCATCCCCAGCCAGGTAGTCTAGATGAACCAAGTGCTACAATAAACATACATAATTTATAGCTACAAATGTACATAATAAAGTATTTCAAAAGTTGATAACCCTGTAATTTAAAATTAAAATTATATTTTTATTGTATTTGGCTTATCATTTGCCCAACGTGGATTAAATAAACTCACTTTGTATTTTTGTACAATCTGAACTTTAGGTACAACAGAATCAATACCATTTGTAACATTGGCTTTCTTAACTTTTGCTGGAGTCTTTTCAAAATCGTTTCCCTCAGATTTCTGAAAAAAAGAACAAACACTTTTAATCATATTTTTTTTTAAATAAATAGAATATATAACAACCACACAGATTTCAAAACCGCAAATATACAGGGTGAGTCTTAAATGAGTTATTTTTTTAGTTTTTAGTTAAAAAACAAAATTTGTTGATAATATGGAAACATAGTAGATTAAATTTACAAGAAAGAAAATCTAGAAAAGATCCAGTGGTTCTCAAAATTTTAGCAAAAAATAACTTTTTTGGAAATTTTCAAATAAGTAAAATAACTGGGTTATTTTGGATTTATTTGAAGAACGGCAAAAGAAAATATGTTTCTTTTATCGAGATCCACCAGTCATGAAAATATTTACTTATTTACTCACCCTGTATATGATCCATAACAGAAATTTAAAATCTAGATCTACCAAGTATCACCAATATAAACCTTCCGCCTTTTTATTCATTCTACGTTATCCAATTAACTACTAGCGATGACGTCACGCGACTGAACCTAGGCTTTACTATTTAAGGAGGTATTGGCACAGACTAGACAGAGGAAAGGAGAAAAGCATTGATGAAGAGGAGGGTAGAGGAGGAGTTGATTGATAGTCGCCCTTCTAGGGGGGTACAAAATTATCCCCCCGAATTAAAAGACATATTTTTAATTAAAATACCTGTTGTTCGTGGTCCCGCAAGAAGCAAAGAGCGTTCGGGTCGATTGGGGGGAATTTGGAGTCAGTTGGGGTAGGATTAATACTTAATTTATTGCCGGCAAAAGTTACGGACGTGGAGAGAATATTAGTGAGACTCTGACCCGTGTGAGGGCGCTGCTTGTCGCAATTTTCCTCTCTCCTATGTGTCCAAGGTAAAAGGTTAGCTCAGTGTAGCGTTTAATTAAAATTTGTGACGGTTTTAACCAGACATAGAAGCAAAAACGAGAAAAAAGAAACATCAAAACCACATCCTAGAATTAATTATATTAAAACAAACTGTTTTTAATATAATAAAAAAATAAACTCTAAATTCTATTCGTCGTCTAAATTTCGACAGACGACGACAGAAAAAAAGCAAATGACGTCCATATCAATTTATTTAACTAAAAAAAGTTTCTAATATTTTTTAAGTTAACTATGGATGGGTTTATATACAGGGTGTCCCAGAAATAAGTGCAAATATTTTAAGGGGGGGTAAATCTCGATAAAAGAAACATATTTTCTCTTTACCGTTTTTCAAAAAAGTCCAAAATAACGGGGTTATTTTACTTTGAAGATTTCCAAAAAAAAAATATTTTTTGCTCAAATTTTGAGAACCACTGGATCTTTTCTGGATTTTCTTTCTTATAAATTTAATTTACTACCTATGTTGCCATATTATCAAGAAATTATGTTTTTTTAACTGAAAACAAAAAAAAATCCAAAAAAATATTTCAAAAAATGCCGAATTTTAAAAAAAAAATTCGCGAAAAAAAAATTATAGGTGTGTTTCTGGGGTTGAACTGTACCACTAGTTAAAATACTTGCACTTATTTCTGGGACACCTTGTATAAATCCGCCATGCGTCATCTCTTGTTGTCTTTAACCAGTTTTATTGGTTTATTTCAAAAATGACCAGATCATATTTCAATATTATTGGTTTGACGGAACGATGAACGAAACTAAACAAACGGGCGCCGATGCGTATGAACTCGACTTAAGATTTTTGAGAGTTGTCAATTGTCAAACTCTTGCCAAATTGTAGGTTATAATTTTGTGTCAAATTATGTCAAATAGAAATGAAAAATATTTTGCATTTTGGACTGTGTTATTACGTGTTTCGTGTTTTTTAAAATTAAGTGGACGAAAACTCGAGGAAAAATTAAGTGTTGACCCAGACTATAGTTTACAGTTAATATTCGGTGCCCAGAGACAGTTTACCAGAGATTATGGCCAGAGAGTTGTATTAGCCACAAATAAAGTTTGCATACCATCTCGTATATGGTACCAAAAACTGGAGTATCTATAAAATAGCAGCACACGATAGGCAAATAATAAATTTTAGTACAGCAGAGAGATTATGTCAAAACGTACTGGTTTACAAAAATTAAAGTTAATTAACCGAATTTTAAGGTATAAAATTCAGTAAGTGTTATTATTAATAAAATATTTTGTTTTATTTAAGTTATATTGATAAATGTAATAATAAATGCAGGAAGTTGCTTAAGCTTGAAACACGGCTTGAAAGCCAGGAAATCTTTTTTATTATATCTTTTTTTGGTATGTGGTATTTTTTTTAAATACGCCCTTGCTTGTTGTGTATTAACACATACTGTAATTGTTTTTAATAAAATAACTCGATTAGATTTTTTCAGTTTTATACATTTTTTTCACAATATTTTGAAGTAATCACTCAAATTTTAAAATATATTAATTTTCTGCTATGCGTCCCAATTGTACCAACTTATTTCTTTGTAAAATAAAATAAACTACTTTGAAAATAAAATGACAGACAAATCTATCACTGTCAAGGATCTTGTCGTTGAACAGACTATATAAAATTATTTACAAAATTTTAAGCAAGTTTTATCAACCTGGTTGTAAATAAAAACTGTTACATTTTTCCCCACACCTCACCGGAAAACACCGACACTTCTCTTGTCGGTGTTTTTCTTATTTCCTCCAGATTTCCAATTCCTATCAGACGGAGGAGTTAATTTTTGTCTCGCCGGCTAAATTACCAACTAAATTTAATCAATTTAAGAGATTTATGTTGGGCCGCGGCGCTTCCAGGCTGCCGGCAGAAGGAGCGGCTTCCAGCCAGAGAGATAGATAGGGAGTCCCGACGTTCCAGAGACACGGCGACTGGCACAAAGATAAATTTACACTTTGCCGAACGCGATAGTAGCGGATAGCGTAGACTTGATAGTTTGGGGGAAAGGGGAAACAGGAAAGGCAAGAGGAAACATCGAACAGCTCCTAAATTACTAGAGCCATAGTACTAGTCTAACTATGTCTTCCTGAGTCTTTTTATTTAACGAACTGTAGTTTTATGTCTAAATGCTTTGAGAAATAAGGAAGATGCACAAATAATTTTGTAGCCAATCGCGACATCACTATATTTAAAGTGGGCGTATTATAAAAAAACTTATATAAATTTGTTAAAATGTTGTGGTTTTTCATAGCAATAAAAAGGACTGGAAAAGCCCAAGTAGCATTTTTAGACACAAAATCGAAACAAAATCTCTGCTGAGAAACATTGCGAAACAGTTTCGTCACATTTTTAATACATACGTTTCGTAACAGAAATCGCTTTTTGTTTGGAGAAACATTTTACCAAAATATGGTTTCTCTACATAAGCTATAACAATAAAGATCTTAGTGTCACAAATTTTTCGAAACTTTTAATAAAAAAGCTGTGGCTCACATTTACAAAGATTTCGTACCCGTTTTGTGCCTGAAAAGTTTCTATAATTTATTTGATATTCTGTCAAATATGAAAACATAACCTTACTTTATTGTTTGGATTTTGTTTTGCAGTTTTTGCTATTTAAGCATTCTTTAAGTTTTTATAGTGCTATAATTAAAAAAGCAGAAGGAAGTACACATGATAAGTACAAATACATATATTTTTCTTATATGATTTTATAATAATTAATTATACGCATTACAGAGATGATTTGTTTTAGGAATAAATATAATAACAGCCACTACCCATACGTAACAGGAGACTGAAGAAAAATGTTACCAGCATACGTTTTTTCTCTTTTTTTTTTTCACAACAGAATACATGTTTTTATGTTTTAATTGTGTTATAATAAGTAAATAAAAATGATTTAATTATTTTGACAGGAAGTTTTGATTGGCGTTTTTGACAGGGGTTCAAAATTTCTAGCTGATAGCGCTAAATCGAAACATTTTGGAAACAAGGTTTCCATTTATTGTCGATTCATTTCCGAAAAACGAGTTTCTCTGTTTTTAAACACAAATATGATATAATGTAGATGATTTGTATCCGACTCTATGTCAATTTTATAAAATAATGAATTAAAATTCCGCCATGTTGGCTAGTGATAGCGTTTTTAACTAAAAATATGTTTTTATCGGCTGTTGTGCTTTTAAACTCACAAGAACGCGTTCTCCTTACATTAATTTATATATTTTTATTTTCAGAACCATGGTATAGAAATAAAAATAAAAATCTATATTTCAAACAAAAATATTTTATATAGTAAACGCCACGAATGTTTGGGAGTGATTCATCGGTCGCTACCATGTGAACTAATCTGTTCAAGGTCACATAAAACTTAATTCCAGTGCCGTGGTCTTTCAAGTCATATAATAATCAATATATAATATTTTGTAATTTGTTGTTTTAATTGTCAAAGTCTTGTCAAAACATATATTTGATTATAAATATAAAATGGAATGCCCCATTGGTCGCACTGCAAGCACACCAATGGACTGACGCACAAAAACGAATCAATCAAAGAAACGCGATATAGTATCGTCTTTGTCAATCACGCTAACATTTTAGAATAAGTAGGAAGAGCGCAGGCAGATGATTAGACCAGGTCTTTAAAAACCTACGTCTGCGGTAAAAATTTACGTCTTTAATGTAAAAATGATGGCGCGCGTGTCGATTCTAACTTCATCAAGCGATGAATCACTCCCAAACATTCGTGGCGTTTACTCTAGCAACAAATAAAGATATAATATAGAAGGGGCAGTAAAAATATGAAAGTACATTATTAAATTAAACGATGAATTTGCTTTTGCTAGACGTTTTTTGTGCGAGAAAACCTAAAAATAAAGATCTTAAGACAAAAAAAAATATGGCGGAGTTCGACATTGTTGATGGTCGTTTTCGTTTTGAAATCCATACACAGACAGAATGTTCTAGTTTAGTATTTTGTTTCTTCATATTTAGACACAGCGGCTGCTGAAAACGGGAACATCTTGGACACAAATTGCAGAAAATGTTTCGAAACATTTCCTCTAAAAGTTTTGATTCCGCATCGAAACGTTTCAGGAAACGGCTAGTGTCACCACATTGGGAACACATGTAATAAAGCCATATAAAATATGTAGGTTTCGAAAATGTTTCCTATTTGTGGCATACCGTTCCCATTTTGTGTCAAGAGACAGAGAGACACAATAATTATTAGAAAAATTACCTAAAATGTGTCCAAAAATGCTACTTAGGTATAAGATTGCGGCGATTAAGGCTGTATTCCGTTGCAAAACCCGGCGAACCAGACCGGTAAACTACGGTAAAGAGCGGTTCCTGAAAAACATCGGTTTGACACGGAACGGTTTGGTAAAATACTGGAAACGTCAACTGTTGACGTTTTCTAAATTTCAATAGTATTATTATAAAATTTATCTTTTTCTCTGCTTTGACGTTTGCTTCTTCTATTCAATGGAGTTTAATATTGAAAAATATTTTATTAATGAACTGTTAAACTAATTACACAGATCAAGTGAAGATTTGCAGGTCTAATATTAAAATAGATCAATAATAAATAAACAAATCTAGTCAATATTTATATTTTTATAGCTTACAAAACATTCACGATTACTTGTTGTCTTGTTTTTCATGTTTTCTTTAAATGTTCCTGCCTTTAAGAAACAATAGCTGCATGGTAAGTTTAAATGGTCCTAAAAAGTAATTCTATTTAGTTATTGAAATTTATTTACCTTTACTGCCTACCTCCATTGCTTTTGGATGTAAATACAAAATATTATTACAAATTTTGGAAATTAAATGAGAATTTCATTAATTTCACTTGAACTTCCAATATTTGCTTGATTTCTGTCACATAGATGACATTGATTGGCAAACAAAACCAGAAAAAACAGCCTTTTCGCGTTGCGCTGGCTAGTTCGGTAACAGTTATAACCAAAGGTTATAACCGAATTTTTCAGGAACCGTGTTCCGTAATAAGAAAACTTTCAGGAAACGGATAGAAACGGAACATAAAACCATAACCAAGGTAAGCAACGGAATACACCCAGAATATACAACATTTTTATGACAAATCTATCGTTTCCTCTATTGTTCTAGGGAAAAAAACAAACAAAAAAGTGTATAGACGAGAATATCGGAAGAATGATTCGGTCGCTCAGTCTCAGTCAGAGCGCCCGAGCCGCAATCCATTCGCTTCGCAGCTTTAATCACGCACTAATTGAATTTGTGACAATTATTAATCGCTCGGAGCCGCCGGAGAACGGGCCGTATTCCCGCCTCGCTGCAGTCGGCTATGACGCCATCATTACTCAATTTCAAATCCGACTGTACCCCGCCGTTGCATTGTTTGCGGTTTGGTGTCCTCCCCCCACCCCTCCGCTACCTCTAATACGTTTCTCCTTCACTCCGGAACGTCATTTGGAATATCCTGACGCTAAACATCTATCCAGTACCAACACCCTTTAATCCAATAAAATTGTCATTTGAAAAAAAAATTACGGGCATGCTGATTTTTTCAGAGTTTGTCAGGGACTGTCTTCTGAGTGTAAAATAAACAAAATCGGAAATTTTCCCCTTGCGGTTTTTGAGCAATAGGGGTGTTTTTTTTAAAACTGTACTACAACAAAATAATTAGACGCAAATTGTACAGCTGGTTCCAAAAAAAAATGAATACGACTCTACATATTCTTTTCCAATATTTGAGCAGTGTATATTTATGTGTCAAGTATTTTGACATGTTAAGGTTATTGTGGCATTGTATAAAACAACTTTGCTTTTGACAAAGTGGCAAATACATTTTTCAGAACGTCAGCATGACATGAGTAGAGAAATGGGGGACAGGTATCATAGAATATACTGCTCGAAATAATAAAAATATGTTTTAAATCGTAGTCAATTTTATTGGAACCAGCTGTACAGAAGAACTGTTCATGATCTGGGCGCTATCTCCAAAAATAGTCAAATTACAAAAAAAAAATCATAATGCAAAGGTATACATATGTACTCTTATTTTGAACGAGTTTCCTAGGGTGAATTTGCTGAAAAAAGAGTAACATTGAAAACTACCCTAATTTGTTCATGAACTGGACGCTATCTCCAAAAATAATCAAGCTACAAAAAAATTCATGAGGAAAAGTTGCTTGTCCATTTATTATGAACAACTTACATACGGGTCAATTTGCTGTAAAACAAACTTTTTGAAAACCACCCCAAAGGGCTCATGAAACGGCCGCTAAGTCCGGAAATAATAAACTTATAAAAAAAAATCATCATTAGGCGAACTTATAGAGAATGTTCTTATGTACAATTTGTGTCTAATTATTTTCTTGTAGTACAGTTTTAAAAAAACCACCCCTATTGCTCAAAAACCGCAAGGGGAAAATTTCCGATTTTGTTAATTTTACACTCAGAAGACAGTCGCTGACAAATTGAAAAAATCAGCTTGCCCGTAATTTTTTTTTTTCACTCTCTATACGGCGATACAATTTTACTGAATTACTTGTTTACTTGAAAATGAAGCATATTGCTTCTATATAACTCCAAAATCTGTCACCAAAAACATCATTATACCCGTATTCCAGCCTGTTTATCTAAAATGTCTCCAAGGCTTTGAATAAAAAGATTAAGGAAGGGGTATAATAATGCTATCCATGTATTTATGCATTGTAGAGGGACAAAGGGCCCAAGGGTGGGGATCCTTGACAGTTCTGTTTGACGATTCATTTGACACATTTGAATCTGATTTGAAATTTTGTGGATTTGTCAATCTTTACTGAGCTTATTTTATGTTATTTATTATTTATTCTACTACTGATAGTTGTTTAAAGGTAGTAAATCTAGAAATTGTGGCAGATCTTAAATTAACAGTGACACTATTGCGATTTATCGAAAAAGACTGTAAAATAGTTGGTTGTGTAGCGTGCGGTAGATCTCGGTCAAAAATCGAGGGAAATTATGGAATAACTTTTCGCTAGTAAGTGGCTATAATAATATACATACGTGTAGTAAACCAATCATTTATGAAATTTACTTAAAATTAACTAATTATACATTTTTTCTTGGTTTTTTTGCTTTTCTTTACTACTTGCCAAAGATTAGATGTCAAAGAATTTAGATACGTCAATCTGACTAATCTGCTTCAGTAGTGTATCGGATGTTTGTGTTAATAAATAATTATTAAAACTTATCTATTTTTATTATAATAATATGTTTTTATAACAATTTTAATAACTAAAGTAAACGCCACGAATGTTTGGGAGTGATTCATCACTTGATGAAGTTAGAATCGACACGCACGCTATCATTTTTACATTAAAAACGTAAATTTTTACCGCAGACGTAGGTTTTTAAAGGCCCGGTCTAATCATCTGCCTGCGCTCCTCCTACTTATTCTAAAATGTTAGCGTGATTGACAAAGACGATACTATATCGCGTTTCTTTGATTGATTCGTTTTTGTGCGTCAGTCCATTGGTGTGCTCGCAATGCGACCAATGGGGCATTCGATTTTTTATTTATAACCAAATATATGTTTTGACAAGACTTTGACAGTTAAAACAACAAATTACAACAGTTTATATATTGATTATTATATGACTTGAAACACCACGGCACTGGAATTAAGTTTTATGTGACCTTGAACAGATTAGTTCACATGGTAGCGACCGATGAATCACTCCCAAACATTCGTGGCGTTTACTATACCAACATTTATTCACAACGTAAAATAAAAAAAAATATTGAGTCTACTCCACGTCTACCCTACATCATAGTTTTACATTTTTTAAATAAAATTAGAACGGCATTGATTACCCGGAATTTAAGTCGGCCATGTTTAAGTCCCATCCCGGTGGACCTAAGATTTTTGATATGCTCCTTCCTTAGTCTTCTTATTCAAAGGATATGACAATGGCAATTGTTCTCTGTCATTTTAATTTTTCGACTTTTTCTGTCGCACTATTACCTTTTACTCATTAGACAGACTTTGATTAACGACATCATCATCAAAAAAATACAATTAAGATACCAGGAGGTGCAAAAGAAGCCATCCAAGTCTTCAAAAACGGATAGAACATGCCATTTTTATTAAAACACCACAAAACAATCACCAGAAGTATTATTGTAACCATATCCCTGCCTGTTTAACTAAACTCTCTCCAACGGGAAAGTGTATAACAATGAAAAATAGTAAAATATTAAAATATTTTTTTAAAAATGCAAAAAAAACAGCAAAATTAAAAATGTTACCTTATCATTGGTTATAACTGTTAGATTTCCGTCATCGCCTAGCAAGATAACATCAGGCCTTCTAGGATCAAAAGTGATACTTCTAACATGATGCGTCCTTGACTTCCAACTGGCAGGCATATACCGGTCCAAAATCCGGCTACGACTACTCAAACACTTATTTTTTATATCATATTCTATAATCTACAAAAAAAAGACAACATTGAAACATTAAAAAAAAAACATATAAAACTATACTGAAGTCTCACTTTGCCATCAGCATAAACCACAACCACAGTAGAAAGCAAAGAATTGACAGATATTGCTGTCAGAGGCACTGAATACTTTGGCAGTTTTGACACAATAGAATATCCATCCTGTATATGCGACCATATCACTATATTACTATTCGGATCACCTGCCACGAGGTATTTCCCGCATTCAGAAACAGTCAAAAACGTTACTGTGTCATCTAATAAACCTGAATAATACCCAAACGATTATAAAATATCAATAAAATTGACGTTATGAAGTAATATTACCCTTTCTTTGAATAGTTTGACTGATAAAGGGCTGACTGTCTTCTAAGTCATATATAACTATTTTTCCATCTAGCAGAGCTACTACTAATTGGTTATATTTGTTATTGAACGCTGCTTGAACACAAGGAACATTACAATCATCTAGATCATCGATTTTAGTTATTTTAGGTTTTTCCTTAACCTAAAAGAATTTGGTTATAATATATATCGTCTTATAGAAGAATACTGACTATTTCTAATGTATATAATCGAAACCCAGAGTGTGTACTTATTAAAATCCACTGGCCATTGGTAGAAATACAACTACAGAATATGCCTTCACCTTCATCTTCGCCAGACCAGTTTTTGTTCACCCTTTGAAGGGTGACCAGTTTCTTTGGTTTGGTTTTCAACTCAACAATGCCTCTGTAACTTGGTTTGGCACTTTCTGTTTCCGCAAGAGACCAAATTTCAATATGCCTTGAGTGCCTGCAGAGAAAAAGAACATTATTTTAAAATATTTTTACCAACTCAACAAAAAGGTATTCCTCTACTAAGAATAATATTGTATATTTACCTTAATAATATTAGCCTTGCATTAGATGCAACCTCAGTACATTGATTTTGCATAACAGGTGGATATTTTACTAATGTTTTTGGTGGATGAAAACTACATGCCAAGTAGCTATCAATCCCTGCAGAATACAGTTTATTTTTGTGATATATCATGGCTCTAATGTCATGCTCATGGATTCTTCTCTGAATTGATTTAACCCACTTAAATGACTGGCCTTAAAATATACATGTTTATATACCAACAAAAAAATTCAAATATTTTAAAACCATACCAACTTTGACTTTCTCGTAATTGGTTATCAGAGGATCAACACCAGCACAGTAAACCGAATCTTCTGACTCTGAAATGCACAGGGCTGTTATATCAGCCTTGTGTGGCTGATAATTTTCAACTTGAGCCCCAACTTTGCCATCCCATAATGTTAAAATCCCACGTGAATCACCACTAAACAGAATCAAATATTATTTATATTATACTCTGTAGAATAAAACTTTAAATATACCTAAAAATTGTAAAATCAGCCATAACTTCCAAACACCAAACTATAGTATCTCTATTAGCTTCACTACGGCCTATCTGCATCTTATGTATTGCATGTCCCGAATTAATGTTCCATATTCTAACAGCATTTAAGCTTCCTGTCACTAAAAACTCTCCAGTTGTGTTAAACTTTATGCAAACTATCCTCCCTTCTTGCTTGTCTAAGAATTTTTCAAATTCTGCTCCACTATCAGTTATTCGAAATATATTAATGTATCCTTGTTCAGTGCCTACTGCTATCTGTAAATTCTGCTTAAAAATGTCCAAACACGTAGCTGCCTCGCCAGTAACTACCCACTTATCTTTTACAAGCAACTGATATAAGTCATATTCAACCAAGAACCCGTGTAAACCTATGCTAAATAAACGGTTGTCCAACCAACATAAACCCTCAATACTGAAATTTTCTAAATCAGGGGGTATGGTACGTTCAATGTAAGGCACATTACTCAAGTTCCAAATCTCAATACTTGCGTCTGATCTAAAAATTAAGGAAAATATAGTTAAAAACTAGGGAATACTTTGGACGGATTACCTAGCAATAGCCAGTCTGTTGGATTCCCTTTGAATTGCCATAAAATATATAGCTCTAGGATCGGGGTTGTAAAACCCTACATTGTGTATTTTACAGTGAACCATCTTATTTTTAATTCAATTTGATTAAAATTACGGATTAAAATGTAGTTTTAAATTCAAAATTGACAGCTAACTTAACCTTACTTTAGCACGTGTCTGCTTCTTTTCGTTTTGGTGGGGCAGCTGTCCTTCTTTTTACGATTAAACTTGGCCGTATAGTCCTGGCAGCTCAGGCCGTAAGGTCAATGAAGAAGAATTAACTTACAGGCCTTAGCTGCTAGGGGTATCTGACCGAACAATTGAATTATCAATTTTTTAAAAAATGTTGATCAAACAAAATGTTAAAAAATGTTAATCAATTAAGATATGGTGTGTTGTGGAATCGTGTTAATCATATTAATCAATGCTAGCTTGTACTGTCACTAAAATCAACGTTTAATTTTTAAATTAATAATTAAACCTAAAATCTTTTAAATATCTTTTTAAATATACTACAGATAAACGTAGAGAAAGAAAATTTGGTAAGTCCGAATAACACTACAAAGCAGTAAAATTAAAATTTATAAAAAAATAATAATGAATAGCTAATAATTTACTATGAAAATTAATTATACCGTTGTTTTTTGATCTTCCAGCAATTGAACGGCTACAATTAAATATGTAGCTATTGATGAAAGCACCTAAAAATAAAAAATATTTGTGAGATATAAGAACAAATGTATATTTTAATCATGTAAGCCGGATAGCTCTGGCAAACGTAGCCGTCAAGCAAAATATTATTCGAATCTAACTTCACTCTACTCAAAACAAAATCAGCTGATTTTGATAAGGTGAAGTGTCATGTGTCATTAAATTCATATCAATAAAAGAAACATGTATACGTATTAATTAAATGTTTATTTTCCTGTAAAATTCAGTAATGACGGCTTCAACTCAACTATAAAACATGATTCGAAGAAAAAAGAAGTGGAAATCGGAAAATTGATAGCCAGTATAATGAAAACTCTTCACTTTCTTTTGACCAGCATATTGTTATGTTCACGCCTTTATTATTCATTATCTCAAGATCAGAACGATGTACAGATTACTGATTCATCCGAGGGTATTTTGGAATCACCCCTGTGCTGTAACTTAACAGTAGAAGAGGTCGAAGTAGATTATAGTTCTAAAATAGTTGAAAATGAATATATCGTTATGTTTAATGGCTATTACAAAAATCAAGCACGAGCTGGTTATATAAACACAGCCTTAAATGGAACTGGTGTTAAAAAATGGTCCATTGTAGCGAGGGAAAACCCAGCTAGTGATTATCCTAGTGATTTTGATGTAGTTATCCTTGAAGATACTAATAAACTAGAGGGTAAGTACATCAAAGTTTCTATTTAGTCTAGATAAAATTTTATGTAGTATGTTTTTTTAGGTTTAAATGCTTTAAACGATCATCCCGCTATTAAGAGAGTTACTGCACAACGTATGGTTTCAAGAACCCTAAAATTTTTAAATCCTAATGTCAGGCATAGTGGCACAAACACAAATTCAAGGAATCAGGCAAATAACAGACATCATAATTCTAGAAGGCTTTTAAGGGCGATTCCAAAACAAATTACATCAGTTTTACAAGCTGATTCCTTGTGGAACATGGGTATAACTGGAAAAGGTAAAAATGTGATAATAAATTGTTTAAAATGTTAATTTTGTGATTATTATAGGAGTTAGAGTGGCAATTTTTGATACTGGCCTGGCTAAAAACCATCCCCATTTTAAGAAAATCAAAGAAAGAACAAACTGGACAAACGAGAAAACTTACGATGATGGAATAGGTCATGGTACGTTTGTAGCAGGTGTTATAGCATCGAGCAAAGAGTGTCTTGGCTTTGCACCTGACTCAGAGCTTCATATTTTTAGAGTGTTTACAAATAACCAAGTGAGTGTTATATGAATTTAACAGAATTATTTTAATTTATTTGTTTATTTTAAGGTGTCATATACATCCTGGTTTTTGGATGCATTTAATTATGCAATCTTAAAGAAAATTAACGTACTTAATCTTAGCATAGGAGGTCCAGACTTTAAGGACCATCCCTTTGTTGATAAAGTTTGGGAGTTAACAGCAAACAAGGTAAGAACTCTATTCATTTTTTTGAAATATGGTATTTGTAAATTGTTTTTTAGGTTATCATGGTATCCGCAATAGGTAATGATGGGCCACTGTACGGTACACTAAACAACCCAGCAGACCAAATGGATGTCATTGGTGTAGGGGGCATCAATTTTGAAGATCAGATCGCAAAGTTCTCCTCTAGAGGCATGACAACTTGGGAACTACCACAAGGTACTCTTATTTTTAATTGATTGAAACTTGTACAGTAAAGAATTAATATCTTAAAGGTTATGGAAGGGTGAAACCTGACATAGTGACATACGGGTCAACTGTCAAAGGGTCACACATGAAGACTGGCTGTAGAACACTGTCAGGAACCAGTGTTGCTTCACCTGTAGTTGCAGGTAGTGTAAATCTTTCTGATTTTGTATCTGGTAGTTATATAAGAGAATTTTTAGGCGCTATAACATTGTTAGCTAGCGGAGTGTTACATAGGGGCGAGGATATTGTGAATCCGGCCAGTATGAAGCAGGCTTTGATGGCTTCGGCTAGAAGGCTTCCAGGGGCCAACATGTTTGAACAGGGTCACGGAAAATTGAACTTGTTGAAAGCTCATCAAGTTTTAAACAGTTACAAACCACAGGTGAGTCATTTTTTTAAGTTTGATATTGATTGTTTCCAATTCTATCTAATAGTACTTTATTTTGTGAATATTTTTATATCTACCTATTAATTAGAAAAATATTTAAAAAATGTAATAATAATTAAAGGTTATTTAGCAACTTTTGACATTTTTGGTATATTATACTTTAATTTTGTACATAAAAAGAATAAATTCGTGTCAAATTTACATTGAAAAAGATATATTTATATATTACATCATTACTTTTCAATAAATTTAGTCTTGTAGTTTTAGGACAAAATACGGCGTCAATTGGTTTGGAAATGATAATTGATGACATTCCTTATATAATTTTACGTATAAACTGACATCGATCTTCATTTCATAGCTATCGCTGGCGCCTTTTTTCTTCGATCATATTGTAGCTTAGTTATATAGAAACTACAGTAAGCGATGGCTCCTTTGAAGTATGTAACCAAATTTTTTGAGTTAAACTTACTTTATATACACTAAAAAAATGTGTAGATTTTTTTTAAATGTATTTTGAAATACACAGAAAAAAAATCTTTTTGTGTATAGATGGTATTTTATTGGTTTAAAAAAAATTGGTTTTTATCGGCATAAATTTTGACTTTTACGCAACATGAAAAAACGATATCAATGGGAAGACAAAATATAAAAAATTAATTTAAATTTTTATGGTAGAGAAAGTAATTAACAGAAAATAATGTTCTTGAAGAAGCTTTACTAATTTGAAAAAGGGTTTTTAACAAATTTTAATGTCAGTTTTATTAAGTGACATATAAGTAGCCTTTTGATAGGCCACTATGACGTTCTTTTTTATTCTCGATCTCATGGTATTTTCATCTTGTAGGCTAGTTTAAGTCCAAGCTACATAGATCTAAGCGAATGCCCCTATATGTGGCCCTACTGTACCCAACCCTTGTATTATGGTTCAATGCCTGTCATAGTGAACGTCACAATTCTGAATGGCATGGGTGTGACAGGGAGGATTGTAAATAAACCAACTTGGCATCCATATACACCACAGCAAGGTTAAAAAGAGATATTTTATTAAATTTTATACAATTTTTTACTAGATAATGTAATATTTAGGTCATCTTTTGGATGTTTCAATATCATATTCGGAGATATTGTGGCCTTGGTCTGGCTGGGTGGCTGTAAGTTTATCCGTGTCATTGGAAGGCACGACGTATGAGGGTTTAGCTCAAGGACATATCACTGTAACTGTGGAGTCACCACCAGAAAATGGAGAAGTCGAGGAAAGACAAAGTACCGTCATTTTACCCATCAGGTACTGAATAATTAAAACTAATTGAGATTTAAACTTTTCAAAAAACATTTCTTAGGGCGAAAATAATACCTACACCCCCTAGACACAAACGAATATTGTGGGACCAATACCATAACCTAAGATATCCCCCGGGATATTTCCCTAGGGACAATTTGAAGGTTAAGAACGATCCTCTGGATTGGAACGGCGATCATATCCATACAAATTTTAAGGATATGTACCAAAACCTCAGAAACGCCGGTTATTACATAGAAGTATTAGGTAAATTATCCTTAATAGAAAAAAGAAAAAAACTTATTTATGGCAATTGAATTTATATGTTAGGTTCTCCGTTTAATTGTTTCGACGCCTCGCAGTATGGTACTCTTTTGATCGTGGATCCTGAAGAGGAGTATTTTCCTGAAGAAATCGTGAAATTAAAGCGCGATGTTGAATCTGGGCTGTCGGTCATTGTTTTTGCCGATTGGTACAACGTTACTGTCATGAAGAAAGTGAAATTTTATGATGAGAATACCAGGCAATGGTGGATGCCAGATACAGGTAAAATATAGCGTCTGCTATAATATAGAGTCTGCCCTGCATCATATTTTTTCAAAAAATAATTACAAGTTTTTGAATGCTTTTAATCATAGGTGGAGCAAATTTACCTGCTCTAAATGAACTACTGGCATCTTGGGGTATACAGTTCGGTGATAGAACTTTCTCAGAAAAGTTCAAATGGAATGAGCACGACATGTTTTATGCTTCTGGAACAAGTATTCATGAATTTCCAGAAGAAGGAATCCTGTTGAGCGCAGAATTAGAAGACCAAGGAGCTCAGGTATGTTTTTTTTGTCTTAAATTTGCTGTCATATAAAAATACTTAAGTTTGTTTGGATATATAGATCTTTGTTACTCTTTCACGCAAAAACTACTGTATGGATTTTAATGAAACTTTACAATAATATAGCTTATACATCAGAATAAGATATCGGCTATAATTTATAAAGATATAAAAAATAAAGACAAATGCCAGTAGAGCAATAAAATAACATAGGGTGAGGTTAACCTGTGAAACGACTATCTTTATTCATTGACTATCCATTATTGTGTGGCGCTCTGCAAGGAGATTATGTAGAAAAATATAAATATAAATATAAAATAAATGTTTTGTGTCGTTGTGAGGTGGATTTTGGATTTGTTTAGACTACCTCCGTATTGTTTACAGATTTTGGGTGAATCCGATTCAAACAAGTACAAGGTGCCGATCTTGGGGTTGTTACAAACCAAATCGCCACGCGGCGGTGGTAGGGTTATAGTATACGGAGATTCGAACTGTATCGACACTAGCCATTCGGAAATTAGCTGTTATTGGCTTTTGGAGGCTATGCTGGAATATACGTCCACTGCGCACTTGCCATCACTATTTAAGGTAGGTTCTACATCACTCCTCTACATCAAAATTTACTTGATGTTTTTATTTATACAGAGAAAGTCTTAAAAAAAATTCTGCAAATATTTTCACAGCTGATAGATTTCGATAAAAAAATATATATTTTCTTTTTGCCGTTTTTCAGAGAAGTCCAATATAGCAGAGCAAAAACATTATAAATTTACAGAACCACTGTTTTTAGGTTTCCGTACCCAAAGGGTAAAAACGGGAACCCTATTACTAAAACTTCGCTGTCCGTCTGTCCGTCCGTCCGTCTGTCACAAAGGTCTATCTTATGAACCGTTATAGCTAGACAGTTGAAATTTTTACAGATAATGTATCTATGTTGCTGCTATAAGAACAAATAATACTAAAAACAGAATTAAATAAATGTTTATAAATAAAAAAGTACTTTCACTAAACATTATCTTTTAAGTAAGAATTTTACATAGAATCTTTCAAGTCCTCGGTGGCCGCGTGGTTAAAGCGTTAGGACTTCACGCTGCTATGATGTTGGAGCCGTACTAGTAAGGCAGGTTCGAATCCTAGTCAAGGCGACTTTTTTTAATCGTTTTTTTTTAATTTTTACGTATTTTTACATATTTATTTTTACTTTTTACATATTTATTATTGATTAATACAATTTTTAGTAATGTGTTTCTTCATTTTTTTTTAAATTTCTTATACGCGCATTCAAAATTTCAGCTAAATCGGAAAAAAAATTATATTAATATAGTCTCTAATGTTGGTATAGATAATGAATGGTACGGAACCCTTCATGCGCGAGTCCGACTCGAATTTTTCTTCATTTTTTCTGTTTTTTTTTTCGTTCCTCTAAAAGTAATAAAATCTATGTTCAGCGATCGTTCAATGCCACGTCATATATTGTCGAACTCTCTCGATCACTTGCAAAGCAGATGAAAGAAATTGGTGACGTCACTACGGCATTTCGTAAATTACTGCACATTGTTTTTAGTAATTGTCATTGTCATTTGATTTGGGGTTATAATTTTGTTGACAAACATCGATCAATGTCGAAATTAAAATTTGATTGTTGCTGTAAAACAAAATTCAATTTTTCGTTGCAAAAACACCTCAAAGATTTAACCAAAATGAACAAAAAAAAACAACGCTTTATTGTACAAAAAGCCAAAACAGCTTCATCGACAAAGCAAAAAAAAAATTTTGGAGCAGCAAAAAACAGGAGCTCATTGCTCAGCTTGTAAATAATTTTTCTCGAGAAAGACACTGGTAGAACACTCTTGCCCGTGGACGCCGTATATGAAGTAAGTACAATGCAAATGTGTAATATTCCTGTGTAAAATTCAAATTGACAGCGTTTTTCAATAATATAGCGAGTTGCTGATGCTTTAAAAATAGGAATTTCAACAGTCCAAAAGACTGGAATTCAAGGGATCGTAACTGATGAAGAGTTCAAGAAAAAATGAATAAATGTCGAAAAATACGGAACTCGCTCAATAAATAATATAGGAACGTACTTAATAAATAATTTTTTAAAAAATATTGAACTGATCTCAGACACACCCTCAAACTCATATTTGACAAATAATGATGACGTAAGGTTGAAAAATGGCTGAACAGACTCTACCATGCTTACTACCTATGTTGCCGTATTATAAAATTTAAAAATTTCGCAAAATAAAATTTTAAGAATACAACAATTTCAACATTTTCTTTTCATGAAAAGAAAAACAATAAATTTCTCTCTCCAGGATAACCAAATGGAGAATTGGTACGGCGTTGCCGACACGGAACTACCCGTTAGAATGGAAGGCAACAGGCTGTACAGGTTCTCCAAAGTTTTAGACGGTAATTTAGGGGAAGCCCAGACGAGACCTTTACCGCAATGTCCGCATTTAGTGTGGGCAAATCCAGTACCATTGAACCAATCAGCACCCACAAATTTGTACCAGTCTCAAAAGTTGTTGTCACTGATCGAGGATGATGTGGTTCCGGTGGTGAACAACGCGGAAAATACAATTAAAGGTGAATTTCGGCGTTTTAACTTGACCTAATTTTAAGGTTGTTTATCGCAAAATATTTCCCGATGATGCACGTCATCAATCATATCGAAATTGAAATTCTCTAAATGAAATTTTGGCAAAAATGTTTAAATTTGTTGTATAATTTAAGATACTAAGCAGCTCTTCATTTTACTTCATAGAGGAAATGATTGTAACAGATATTTTATATTGATTAAAGCTGCAAAAATTAGTATAAAGCGATTTTTATTATCGCCATGTTGGTCACATTGCGCCGCGATCAGCAACGTAATTGTCGTTTATTATTTGACAATAATTATCATAATGTCAGTCATTATTTTGTATAACATCGTGTTGTTGAATCTTTGTGAGTAATTCTTGTTTTTTGCCTATTTTCATAGTCTTTTTTTAAAAATTATACTTTAAAAGCACAAACAGTTCTTTTAAGAACTAAATTTTCGAGTTTTTGTTGTTCAAAATATACCGAAGCATTTAAACAGTCGAAGCAAAGAGCTTGTAGCTTTCCTGATAAACTATTTTGAACGAGAACGTTACAGTAAAGGTCCTTTATTAACCTTGACTGCAGTCAGAGAAGTAAGTTTGCAATTGTATTTGAAATAACGAAGTTTTTATGTAAAATAAATATTTAAATAGACCAGCAATTTCTGATACCCCTGTGTAAATTTAAGAAAGCAATAACATTTTTCTGTAAAGTTTATTTCTCTACCTTTAAACTCAGCACAAGAATTAATTCTGAAAAGTGCAGATGCATAAGGTGTTAATAATCTATTCTATTGTAGGATGCAAATTTAAATAGCTTTAAATATCACAAAAAGCAAAGATTTTAGACATATTTAACCCTTATAATAAATACCTTTTTTGGGCTGAAGAATTCAAAAATGAAATAAAATATGTACCGGGTGTTCCATAAGAAAAAATATAACTTTGGTATGGATCTTAGTTCTGAAACACCCTGTATATTTCAAAGTAATTTTAAATTATGCGTATTGCCTTCCCACATATACCCATAAAATATTTTGTTTCTACATCTTTCCGTTTTCGTATAATCAACCGAGGCGAATGAGGTGCGCCAGCGCCACCCTGTATATTGTTCTCCAGTTTTACATTAAGATTCATCTCATAAAACCACCACAGTCTGGCAGTGCTGTCGCCATCGCTGGTCACTCAAAGATGATGACGTGCATCGGAAATTGTTTTGCGATTACTTTATATGATAATTTAGACATTTTTTGTTACTCGACTTGGATTTGTATGCAACTAAAAAACTTTAAAATCCGCCTTTACTTGTTACTTACTAATCCAATTTGTCTAAGAGCGTATCAGTGGAAAGAATTGCCTTGCAATTTATATTAGATTAAACCTGTTACAGATGCCTCTGGGATCGAAAACGCTGGCGAATTTATAGAATGGAGTTGGCGCGACAAACAGTCAGAATCTATGGCCAAACCCCAGAATTTTGATGCCACAATCACAGTTTTGGTAGTGCTGTCACTTGTCGTCGTATATTATTGCATCAAATGTTACAGGCCCAAACCGAAAAAACGGAAACTCTGCCGTAGACTGATTTCTATGGTTCAGTGCCGAAAGATATCGGTTTAAAGGTAAACGGCCAGAGAAATAAGTAAACAAGAGATACGCCGTGATATACAGAATTAAAGTAAGTGTAATTTTTCGAATGATACAAAATTTTGATTTTTTTTTCGCGAAAAAAAACCTACTCACCCTGTATATGTTTTCCTAATTTACGAAAATTTTAAATAAACAAATATTTGCTATAAAACCATTTGCTTGAAAAATGATCTCTTCGTAAAATCCTCTTAATTTAGAGTAAAAAAATAATATTGATACTTAATTACTTATGCTAAGATTTGCACTGCGCGCCACTGGTATGAGTATAATTTTATTTCAGAGGCTCTAAAATCGTTAAAATACAGCATAGCATCCTAGCCTTGTATAGTTTAATTATACAGGATGAGTCTTAAATAAGTGCAAATATTTTCAAGGGCTGGTAGATCTGGATAAAAGAAACATTATTTTTTCATTACCGTTTTTTAAATGAGTCCAAAATAAGCGAGTTATTTTACGTTGAAAATTTACTGTTAATAAATATAAATAATTTTTTTAAAATAAAATAAATTTCAAAAATTTTATTTTAAAAAATTTTTTTTTCGAAAAATACCAAATTTAAAAAAAAATCGCGCAAAAAGAACTAAATAATATACCACGAGTAAAAATATTTGCCCTTATTTGAGACTCATCCTGTATTTATATGTATTTCCGATTATAAATCATTTTATTTTAAAAGTAAAAAAGATATAGGAATTACGAGATTTATAATATTATATTTTATTAATGTTAGTTAGTATCTAATACCCTCGTTACCCAAAGTATTTTTTTCTTATTTTGTATAAGTTTGGCAACAGTGTCGGTGTATAAATATGTGTAAATATATTTTTTTCATGGAATATTTCACAGTTTTTTTTCCATCTTACCTCAAACGTTTGGGTTTTGTCCAAAATAAAATAACCAGCTGCATTTACGTGTACAGGGTGGACACTAAGTTGGAGTAACCACAGCTGAACCTGGAAAAAAGTATTATTTTTTCAATTTATGATTTTTTTATATACAGTATGGCCTATATAGATTTTTTTTTAATTATTTAGTTAAGTGACTTACCTCGTTTCTGCTTTTTTCGCTCAATGTAGATAGTGGAATTCCTTGAAACAACCTGGCTACTTTGGCACCCTGTAACATAAATTAGTACGTCATAATTTAATCCCACAATGCCCACAATTAATGACCACTTATAGCAAAAATCTAACTACGCCACTGGATTCTGTGTCAAAAACTATTTCGATAATTTAACCGAGACAAGAGGGGGATCCCAAAATGCAATATTTTCAATTTCAACTGGATTATAATAGTTTCCACTAGCGTGTACCCACGACTTCGTTCGCGTCGAATTAATCATTTGTAATGGTGATGATAAAGCAAAGCAAAAATTTCCATTAACATACAAACTGGATAAAATTTTCTCACATTTATGTCAGCATGAGAAAAAAACAATATGGCGATATTATTATATAACTTGGTAATATTTGATAGGTAGTTTCATCTTGTTGGAATTTGACTTTCGAAAAATCCGTTTGCCAAAAATAAGCTTACGTCAAGCAGTTTAAGCAGAATCGTGGTTAATCAATTACCCAACTTTTTGGAACACCCTGTATGATTTTTTAAAAAATTTCAAAATATGTAAAAAAACAAAATAAATTATGAGTGTCCAAGCGTTTTCCCGAAAGACTAACCGTTTTTTTAAATAACAAATATTGTAATATTTAAGGGGCTCTTTCACCCTCTTGGAATTTGAGATTCGAGAAACGGTTTTTAAATAAAAAATATGCTAATATTGGAGGGGTGGTTCCACCCCTTTAGAATTCGAGTTTTGAAAAATCCCTTCTTATAGAACCTCTACACCCTAAAGTCAATCCGTTTTCCAAAAATCAGTTTTTTACGTCAAGCGCTTTAAGCAGGATCGTGATTAATCAGTGACCAGATTTTTCCAACCAAACCAAATCACACCCTGTATACATTTTTAAAAAATGTTAAAATATGTAAAAAAATCAAATATACGTGTTTAAGCATTTTTTCGGAAACTTGACTGTTTTTTAAATAAAAAATATTGTAATATTTGAGGTTTAACCCCCTGGAACTGGAATTTCGAAAAATCTCTTCTTATCGAACCTCTACACTCTAGAATCAACCTGTATGCCAGAATTGAGCTTGAGTGGTTTGCCACGTTGAGTGGTTTGAGAAAAATAAGATATACACTGTCCGCCCAAATTTATACTTGCCTTTTTTATGATGGAATACGACAAATTCACCATAACTGTAAAGTAAAAAATGTCAATACTAGTCAGTACAAGAAGATGTGGATCTCTGGTTGAAGTAATGTAAGCACTGATGTTTATTACAACAGCCACGATCAGAAACAGCTTCTGAACAGCAACGTATCCACCGTAACACACGCTCAGAGCGTGAGTGGCTTCAGACAGAAGGTTGTGCAAGATCCTGAGCCTCGATAGATAGTCAGGATCATCCAGGATTTTCTCGTATTCTTTACAGTAACTTGCATGGTATCCCTTCGAGATCAGAGCTTGGTTTATCTCATCAAATCCGTAGATTATTTTTGAGGAGAAAACAACGAAATACATCGGCGGTGTTATCTGCCAGACGCAGGAAAACGCGAAGGATATTGCTGACCAATAATCGTCAGTGTTGCTGTATATTTCCCTAATCAAATGGCACGACTGGACTGCGTAAATACCTGACAACACCACACTAATGAAGAGGGAAACACATAAAATCATTTTTCTGGATAGACCAGGTTTCTTCAAATTCAAACTGCGTTCTCTTTGTTCTGCGAAGATTTCCAATAGTCTTATAAGTTGAATAGACTTAGGAACATGCCTGAAAATACAAAACAAGAAACTAAAACCCGTCCTAATGTACATGAAGAGAACAAGAACTTCTAATAACTGCTGGAATCTGGTATCTGTACAAAATTGAAAACCGTGCTTCCAATACTGGGTTCCAACAACCACTAGGTGTATAGTAACGGAGTAGAGGACGTCAAAGCTGAACACTCTGTATCTTAGGTTGAAGGGGTTCTTGGTGAGGATGTTCTGCATGGGGAAACAACCGAGGATTTTACCGACTAAAACTATCCAGCGGAAATACGCGTATAGGGCCATCTTTACCAGAGGGATTCTAGCAACTGAAGAGTAATTTTGATGCTACAATCTTGTTTTGTTTTTTATTGTGTTTGCTTTTGCTAAATGTATGATAAGAAGCTTTTTTATGTACTGAAAATGTTATGTTTATTGGAATAGATAAAATTTAACATGTTTTTGCAATATTAGTTAATAATAAGCTCTTAATATATTTTTCTGAAATCGTGGAATAGTCCTATAAAAGAAAAAGAAATATTTATCTCTGATAAACTACATTATAGATATGTAGATTTAATGGACCATGATAAAGGCTTAATATACATATATAGTACAGGGTATCTAATTATTCGCTACCCTACAGGTATGATGTAATAATATCGTATATAGGGTGTCAATTTTTTTATAACGAGAAAACGTCAGTAATCGCGATAATTTAAAAACTCGACTTTTTAACACATAACACGCGGTAACTCAAGAACCACTTTAGATATTGACACGTTTTTTTATTTTGAAGTTCGAATCTTTTACAAGATGTTGAAATAAGAAAAATTCGATAGGCTTGTTTTTTTCCATTCAAAAATTTTTAAAACCCCATCCATTTACTTTTAGTGCATAGCAATTTTTAGCAATCGTGTAACTTTTTTATTTATAAAGATTTCCGCATACTGTCTGCGAATAAAATATAGCAGAATATTAAGAAAGTTTATGAAAAAAAGAACTACAATCAATTATTTCTAACGGATTTGAAGATATCGATTTTTGAATTCAAAGTTCTAATAGCGCAACCACTCTCGAACACCAGCTTAATTACACTTATTTTTACCAAAAATGCTACTGTTTCTAACTTGCACTTGAAAACTTACAAGCTATAGGGAAAATTACAACGACTCGTTAATAAATAAACAAATTAAGTATCTCTCTCTTCAGTCCTGACCCCCATTAGGGAGTGTAGTGGTCAGCGTAACATCATGGATGATTTTTCTCCATGCGCCTCTGTCTTTTGTCATCTCGATGACATCATGCAGTGGCTTGCTACAGCTAGTCGTGATCTGGTCTATCCATCGAGTTGGAGAGCGGCCACGTGGTCTACGTCCCTCCACCTTGCCTTGAATTATGAGTATTTCCATATTGTCCGGACTTTTCCTCATTATATGTCCAAAATATTTTAGTTGTTTTAGTCGGATTTTACAGGAAAGCCTGTTAGTAATATTAAGTTCATTTATAATGGAAACGTTTGTAAGGCGTTCAGTCCATGGGATACGGAGCATACGTCTATAACAATACATCTCGGTAGCATCGATCTTCTTACGTTCCGCCTGCCTGAGAGTCCACGATTCGCAGCCATACGTCAATATTGGGAGTACCAAACAGTTGACTAGCCGGTTTTTGGTGGCTCTTGAAATCTGGCGGTCTTTCCAGATCTTGGTCAGTCTCCCAACAGCTACCTTTGCCATGTTGCACCTACGCTTCACCTCTTCTTCCGATGTGCCTGTATATGTTAATAGTGATCCCAGGTATACGTATGACTTAACGACTTCAAACCGGTCGATATGACTTATATTTGGATGGTTGTTATGTTGCCTATCAACTATCATAATTTTGTTTTTTTGCGTATTTAGTTCCAGACCGAGCCGATTGCTTTCGTTTTCTACCCTATTTACTAAATTGATTAACTCCTCTTGACTTCTTCAGCGAGTAGTGCTGTATCATCTGCAAAGCGTAGATTATTTATTTTTTGGCCATTTATTGAAATGCCTCCTTCCCATATTTCTAGCGACCTTCTCATTATGTATTCTCCGTATATGTTAAATAGTTGAGCAGACAATATACACTCCTGTCTGACTCCTTGTTCGAGGGAAAATTCCTTTGAAGCTGAATCCAGTATTCTAACTGATCCTGTAGTGTGCTGATACAACTGAATGATAAGTGAAATAAGGTGTGTTGCGGTACCCCCACTTCCTTTAAGATTTTCCACAGGTGATGCCATCTGACTTTAAAAAAAAATATAATATATAAATATATTATATAATATATATTGAATAAAGTATTATATATATTGAATAAAGTATCACGAGACGTAATTAAATCGTGAAGCTGAACGCATGATATATACACCTTTCCCTAGAATTTTAAGTACTGAGAGAGGTACTAATTGGGTCGATCGGTCGGCCGCGAGGAATCTGCTATATCCCCTTCCGCGTCTCCTAGCAATCTGCACAGTTTATAGGTTTATTTCATACATTTGGCAACGTGTTTACTGTTCTCTCTTTGTTCAGTACATTGTAAAAGCATTGTACTCTTCTTACATACGGAAATATCGACCCAAAACTAACCTTTGTCAGCCCTTACTATATGATCTATATTAGTATTTTTTTTAGTAAAAAACTGACAACCTCGCATTTTTCTCCTTACACACTGTTTGTATATCTTGGATACTTTCGTTTTGGACAATAGGGTTTCTCTAGATATATTATTTACCATATCTGAGCTTAGCTAAAAACATCTTAATTAATTTATAACAATTTTACACAATTCACGTGAATATGATGTACCTATTGTATTGAATGCATCCGACTAAATACAGATCAGGCATCAGATTCGGGATATAAAAACAGTTTAATAAAATTCAAATTAGGTACAAACAGTACCACTTATAATAATTATTTATCAAATACAAAGGTTGATTTCTATTGAAACAGTAGAGAAAAAATACAATATCTAGTTTTGACTCTTCCTGTATATGCCCTGCTATTAAACGATTAAGCACGAATTTCATCAACTAACTCCACTTACCCTTTTTTTGAGTTTGGAAGCTACCAGTAGCGTACTAACAAACACCGCCAGGTTCAAAGTGGTCACTGTGATCAACTCTACGAAATGGTGATTCTCGCTCACGTATAAACTTACGTTGATCACCACTGCCGAACACATGAAGATCTTCTCAATCGCCATGAAGCTCCCGTAGCATTTATTCAGTTGTACTGTTGCCTCGGATAACATATTGTGCAGTACCCTCATCTGCCCGATAGTATCCTCCATAGTTCCGTCTATTTTTTGAATGGCGTCGATTTTATAATAATTTCCTGTACATTTTTTCTCTATTAGAGTCTCGTTGATGTGTTTGTAGTTCTTTGATATTATACTACTGAAAATAATGAAGTACAACGAGGGTAGTACGTGCCAGGAACAAAGAACTCCGAAATAATCAGCAGCTGAAAACAAGAACGGTTTTTGACTCTGCGAAGCTGGGTAGATTTGCTTGATCAGATTCTTAGAAGCGTACGCGTATGTCGAAGCGAAAAACACGAAAAAAAGCATCGGGCATATAATCCTAACCGCCACGTTCGTGCTCAAGCACCACTCATTCCCCAGCGCCAACAAATCCTTCTTCTTCACATCGAACGCGTCCAACAGCTGGATCAACCTGGGCATCCTGTGAGCGTGAGTGAACAGGCTGAAGGTGAACGAGGACAGTGATCGGACTACCATGAAAATCACTAGGTATTTAAGGAGTTTGAGCGGCATGGTGTCCGCTTGGAACTGGAAGCCAGAAAGGGACTGGATGAGCACGAGCAGGCCGTACTGCAGGCAGAGGCTGTAGACGAAAGTGAAGCTGAGCTTTTTGTAGCGCAGCTTGTGAGGGTCGCAGCTGAGGACGTTCTCGATGGGAAAGGCACCGAAAATTTTACCTAAAACGGCCAGAGGTCGGAAATAGTAGTAAAATGCGTGCATGTTTGTACAGTTGGGATCTGTTAATGACTGGAGTTAATAATCAAAGAGTGTTCTGGAGTATCAGTTGTGTTTCGTTTAACTTAATGCGTTTATTATGTCTAATTTATTTATATCAACATAACTACAAGAGTCTAAACAACAATGCTTATACCGGGTCCGTCTCAAAAGTAGCTAATCCATATAGTTTTTTTTTTATTTTAAAAAAATAAAAAAAGTTATAGGGGTGAGGGGTGAGCCACTTTTGAGACGCACCCGGTATATTCCGTGACTATACAGAGTGATTGATGTTATTAGGAAGCATTTAGTTTTAATATTAGTATCAGTCCACACTTCTTATTACTCTTCTAGGAGTACCTATATAACTGCTTCCAACTCTTCTTGTTTCAAAATTCCAGTTTTAAATCAAGTAGTTTAGTGCTCTGACTTTTATGAAAAAATTTAAAGGCCTCCTCAGACGCCCAGTTTTTTCGCACAGGCTATCTGCACAAACCTGATTTGTGCAGGCTGGTGCGCGACAAATGTATTCAAATAAATTAATAAACAATGAACAGATTTTAGGCAACGTTATGACAATATATAATTTATATTTCATAATAATTCATTACACTTTAAAATAAATATAAATTGAGATAAAATAATTTCTTTAATAGGACACTAGATGACAGATACATAGATGCAGGATTACTTATCCTTTCTATCTGGTTGAGATTCTTGATGTTCTTCATTCTAAAAAGAAAGATTGTGGTTTTAGAGTACCCGATGATCGAAAAAAAAAACCGCGTCGTAGATTATTTTATATTTTTACTATAACATTATGTAGATCGTCGTATTTATAAAACATTTTCACTCACAAAAATATTTACAAAAAACATTATTTTTAAAATAATTTCCAAAATTTCTTCATTTATTCAATAATGATAAATTATCAGAAGTTATCAGGGTCAGTTCAAAGGTTACTGTGACGCCGGTTTTTGCCCTATACCGTAAACTAGTTTACTACAATGATCAATGACAGAAAATTTTTTTGGGGTGTTATAAAAAGTTTTTACACATAAAAAAGTAGTTTTCTGCATATATATTTGCAGTATTATATTATATTATTATATAGCTTTCAACAGTAAATTTTAATCAAAGCCACTTCATGATTTTTTGCCTTATATTTTACTATAAAAATCTAGAATGTAGTATATAATATGGTAGGTATATTAGGTAATTCTGTAAAAATACTTACATCCCGATACAAAAGTTGGGTACTAAGTCTTTGACTCATTACTCTGTATTGAAATTTAACTTTCTCCTGAAGTTTGATTGGAATCACCATTATGGTCGTCAGAGTATTACCCAAAAATAAAATAAAGAACATCGCACATAGCACTGGTACCTAAAGTAATAAAATCCCATTTAAAGAATGTGTTTCTGGTAGTTTGTAAGTAGAAAACTTACATGCCACGTCGCACTTGCATAGAAACTGAGCTTGTACAGTGTATAGGCATTGTAAAATGTGAAAATATAACCTATAAATAAAAATGGATACAGAAAACTTAGGCCCCTCCACATCCACGAATGGAACCCTTCAATTGTTATGTCCATATTATGTCGTTCACCCAGAGCCTTAAGCCTATACAATGCTCCTCTTTGGTATCTGAACTGTAGAAACTGGACAAAGCCTGTAAAGACATTTTAAGTACAAGACTCTACTTTGTATGAAAAAATATTACTTAAATATGTATTAAATAACGCAAACTGATATCGAAATGCAAGCCATGTGTCATTATCTGGCCAAATAAGCAATATTCCTGCAGCAACTGTGGAAAAGAAATGGTGAAATCTCCACCATCCTTTGATTCTGGATCCATTTAGTTTCAGTATACTTTCTCTAATTGTGAGTGTACAATAGTACCAGACAAGTAAAAAAATATAACTTAGTTCTAGTGCTCGAAAATGGATGAAATAGTTCAGCACAGCCATGATAAAACATATACCGCTCAGTATTAATTTAAACTTCTCATATTCATCCTTGTATTTAAACCTAAAAGATAAATTATTGTTTACCTAATACCTTTTCAAAGTTAAACATGTTTAAAAGTTAGTTACTTGTCTTCTTTATTCAGAATCGAGACGTTAACATTTCCTAATATAATCTTTAAATATAAACTGTTCTCTTTTGGTAGCGTTTGCTCAACCTCGTAGATTTGAGCCTTTCTCTTTAAAATATTATTTCTCAGTTCCTCCACTTGCTTCTCGTTTTCTTTGGTTTTTGCGATTTTATCCAATTTCCTTGTTATGATGCCTAAACGATAACGCTGATGCTTTATCTGTTCCTGACATTTTTTCTGATGACTTGTAAGATCTTCCAAGTGCTTTAGGTAGCTCCTGTTTACCACCTAAACGTGGAAAACTCATTTAATTTTCTACAAATTGCTTGTAAATAAATTTTGAAATGCTAACCTCTAATTCTTTAAAATCGGCGTTTAATTCGTCCCATTCGTCAAAAACTTCAGTCATTTCTTTTCTAAAACGAGTAAGTTGCAAATATTCAGTTCGAATTAATTGTGAGAAGCTGAAAATTTTGATATTAAACTGCGGGATTTTATTAAAAAATTGGGTACACAGGCACTGCTTCTTTTTTCTTTCTTCTTTTTAAAAATATAGAATAGATAACTCGAAGTAATCCTCAAACATGTTCCAGTGTATCGGCCGTATAATTCTGGTAGCTCAGGCCGTAAAACTAACAAGAAGAAGAAAGATGATACTACCTAACTTCTCTCTTTTATATTTGACATTTGACAATTCTAATTTTTTAAGTTAAGGTTAAGTGTTGCTCATTCTCAAATAAGTTATTGATTTCCTGTTGTGAATATTTTAATATTAAATAATATTTAAGAACAATGCCTGGTCCTGCTAGAGCTGCAACGGCAAAATTGCCAATTGGAAAAAAACAGATTGAAGTCCTGACCTCATGGTATGCTAATTTGTGTATTTTAAATTTTGAAGAAGTTATGTAATAAGAAATTATTGAATTTTTCTTGTTAGGCTTGGTACTGCCGGTGCTTATGGGGCCACTTCAGCAGCGCTGATTGTCTACTTAACAGACTGGAGAGTTGTTGTTGATTATATTCCTTTTTACAATACCAAATTTCCTAAACAAGAATAGAAAGTTTTAAATTTATGTGTGAAGAATAATTGTATAGATGTTTTAATAAAAATTGGTTAGTTTGTATAATATATTTACTTATTTACATAAAGGCAATAACTTTTTAGAAGAAAAGGAAAATATTTTGAAATCTAGGTTTTGGCTGTATATTAAAATCTGAATGGAATAATGTATTAAAAGCTTAAATTTACTTTATAGATTTATTTATTCTGTATCATAAGCATATCTCTAAATTTTTAGATAGAAATATACTTATAAATATTAGTAGTATAATAAATATGGAAATTTAGATCTGTCTTGGATAAATAACCAGATTGTGATAAACAAAATGCGTAACTGGCGTTTGGCGTATATGATAACTAGATAAGCAGAGCATAGCGTATATGTACCTATTCTCTGCGTATATGAGTATTTTTTTTAAAGGCCTAAACTACTAGGACTATCCGACTTGTGTATTGTTCTATATATCTTGATGTAAAGGAGCAGAGTCTTGGTAGTTGAAACATCAAATTTTTAAAAGAAGAAGTTGTCACAACTTAACCTAGGTTGATAAATAAAATAAATTTGTTTATTATTTGTTCCTCTGTCAAATGAATTCCATGAATAAATTTAAATAGTTCGTGTTTTTTAATTATATTCGAGTGTTGGTCTTCCACTTTTATATGTAGATGTATAAAGCTAACGGGTTATCTTATCGTATATCTTCTTGTTAAGCAGTTATTTAACAACTGAGCATCAACTGAGGGAAGTTTGTGCAAGTAACATATGTAGGCCATGGCTGATATACCGAGTAGGAATATGGGGTCGATTATTAACGAATCTGACCTTATTTTGGAACTTAGCAACTGCGGTTTATTTACAGATGACGAAATTAAGTACGTTTTTATTATTATATAATTGCCCTCTTTATTTACAATTTGTTTTAGCATTATTTCCAAGAAACTTGCTGACAACAGATTCAGATTAAGTAGTAGTACCTCACGGTTGCAAGACTTTGGAGATTCGATCGAGTATCTCGAGAAAGTTTTATTAGACGAAATACCCAAAAGAACGCGGGGAACACGAAGTATAAATACAGGCAGGCTAAAAAGCGCGATCATTCAAATGTTACAATATTATTATGAGTACGCCCTAAAAAGTTATTCCTCCGATTTAAATTTTTGTCTGGAATATTTGAATTTTCTTGGTAGCCATTCGAGTTTAGATAATGGAGCTAAACACATATCCGAAATGATCGAGGTACTATTTTTTTAAGCTTTTTATATGATTTTTTCCCTGTTTGCTTCATTTTAGAGATTTAAATCCGAACCGAAAGTATTTGAAAAAGCTGCAGCTTGGTACAAACAAAAGGACTGTCACATGGAAGCCATTAAAGTGCTTCTTAAAGGCATTGGGACTCATCCAAGTGAAAAGTTTTTGTACATTTATCTTATCGATGTAGAATTGAGTAATCCTCAAGACAATAAAATACCGAGATTTAAGAAATACATCGACAGTATATTAAAGAACATTCCTGATCCTGATTGCTTTGAAATACTTATGTATGTTTTGACACTGTTTGAAACACATCTAAGGTTGTATCCAGTTCAGGACTATATTTTGGATTTACTACTTCAGAAATATCCCGATGAAGAGAGAGTATGGCATACAATCGCTATAAGGGAGTTGAACGGTAAGTAGGGTGGCCAAATATTCATGAAAGTTGCTTACAAGAACACGTATTAGCACAATCGAGATGTTTAATGTTCCTTTTAATAACTTTTTTTATATTTTTAAGATAATTCTTTATTTTTGTGTTTAAATAGAATAAGCCTTGTGTAATAATACTATTTTCTCTATAATTATAAATACAGGGTGGCGCCTCTCATACGCCGCGGAAGCTCCAAGGACAACGGTAGTTTATATCTAAATGAAATTTTGGCAGCATATGTAGGTTAACTGAAAGCATTTTATAAAAATATATAGAATTATACAGGGTCTCCCCCAAAAAAGTTACACATCAAAGTTGTGTTTTTTCTAATGGAACACCCTATATATTAATTGCTTTTTGGATTCTAGGAAAAAAATAAAGGTCAGTTTTATTAAAGAAGCATATATCTAAAATCTAAGGATTTTGACATATTTCACATTTTGTGAAAATGAAGAGTAAATTTTAAATTTTGATAACAGCTACCTAAATTTTAGTTGACCTTGTAGAGTCTGATATTTAATTACAGTAACTATCGTATGTTTAACCAAATTGAAATTTGACCCGAAAAGTTATACAGGGTGAGACAAAATTAATATGGAACATTTGTCACTTTTAAAAGCAAGTTACTCCTTTATTTTAAAGGGAACACCCAGTATATTTTCTGGTGTTCGATGAGGAATTTATATATCGTCCTATTGCCTCCAAAAGTCACTGACTAACATTTTACCGAACAACAAAATTCAATCACTAACTATATTTTGAAGCAGAGAATCGATTGAAAAAGTCATTAGCTACGATTTCTGGCTATTTATGTTTTATTTTACTATCCGACGGATTACTATCCGACGGATATTTTACTATCCGACGGAATAGTTACTAACTATAACATCTTTATGCAATGCAATTCATCTTTAGACACGTTTTTCTCGGAAGTAACAAAAAGTAAGTTAGTGACTTTTGGCAGCAATGGGACGATATCTTCAAAATATTATTAAGGTTGCCTACCCCTCAGACAAAGATTTTCCTAGATATTTTAATTTTTATGATTTTGCGTCAGTAGTTTATTATTTGTGTGTTATTACGTATTCTTTACTATAATAATAGAATCATATCAATTTTCCCTGATTTAGGATAAGTTTGTATTTTCGGTAAATTTCTGAGAATTTTTTTTATTTTAACTGACACAAAATGATAACTAGTTGTTAAAGTTGAACTAATATCACAGCTATGTTGAAGTAACATCAGACGTATCACAGCCAGCTAGGTTTTATCAAATAATAAACATCTACTCGGATCAAATCATGTAAATGAAAATATCTAGGAAAATCTTTGTTTGAGGGGTAGGCAACCTTAATAGTATTTTGCAGAGACACGAATTCTCCATTGAATACCGGAATAATATACTGGGTGTTCTATTTAACGGAGTAACATGCTTTTAAAAGCGACCAATGTTCAATATTAATTTTGTCTCGCCCTGTATAACGTTTTGGATCAAGTTTTAATTTGATCTAAAGTACAATAGTTAATTTAACTACATATTAGGCCATACCGGGTAAATTCCAATTTAGGTAGCTTTTATTGTCATTTAAAAATTGTTCTTTATTTCTGGAAAATGTAAAATATGTCAAAAACTTTACATTTTAGTCATATATTTTTCTTATAAAACTCACCTTTATTTTTCTCCAAGAATCCGAAAGTCAATTAATATATAGGGTGTTCCATTACAAAAAACACAACTTTGATATGTAACTTTTTTGGGGGACACCCTGTAGAATTATTTTATTTCTTATTTATTAGGGGACAGGCTATAGAATCTATATTTTTAAAAAGTGCTCTGAATTAACCTACATATGCTCACAAAATTTCATTTTAATACAAACTGTCGTTCTCTTTGGAGCCTCCGCGGCGTGTGAGAGGCGCCACTCTGTACATTCCCAAATATTTTTTAAAAATTTGGGATGCAACAGAAAACATAAAAGAATAGAAATTAAATAAGGTGTGTATTCTGAATCGGTACGTTTCGGAGATGTACGCATCTAAACGCCGGGTTTACCACAAATATGAGTGTGTATAAAAATTTAGATGGCGCTACGATACAGGGAAGTTTAAGTTACCACAATTCTGAAAGTGTGTGATACCAATACCCAAGTAGCATTTTCACGACTTGCGACCACACGTTTACTAAACACAACGTTGGATTAGTTACAAAAAATAGTTAGCTCCGTACCTTGGGTATTAAAATAAATTTAAACGTTTTTATAACGTTGTGCCGACGTTGGACTAGTACTATAGCAAAGTAGAAGCTTTTGCGACGTCGAATAAACGTTGTCTTTTAACCTTTTTTGCTTAAGTAATCTTTAGGTGATTCGGACAACGTAGTTACAACGTTGGACAATATAGAGTTTTTCGACGTCAGCTTCAGGACCTATTCCAACGTTATGCAAACGTCGTCTGTTTTACTAATTCCAACGTTGTTTAGATTTCCTTATTCTTACGTTGGTAGGACGTAGAGTCGCTACCTTTTTGCAACTGTATTGAACCATAACCTTAAATCTTAAATTTTCACTTCATTGTTCTGTTCAGTCAGACAGTTCAGTGCTGTTTTTGTTTTTATAAAAAAAAACTTAATTAAAATGGGACATAAGAAAGGTACATATAAAATTAAATTTAAATATACATCGACATATATTACCGATAGTTTATCCACTCCCTCGTTTATTTAGATTATAGAGGGCGGCACAAGCTAGACTCTAGGATGACTAAATTAGGCAATCTTGCGACTAGTATACTACCTGTTAAGGCCGAACTGCGACTTTATTAGTCCAGTATGCGACTACTCGAACTACTCCATCTTAATCTCCAAAACAACAAAGTGAAAGCCGCCATGTTGTTAAATAAGAATATGTTTCGTTCCTAAAATAGCAATTCCTGCTTTTTGAATACATTAACTTGAAATATTTGACCCTAAAAAACACGCGGAAACAATTTTTTCGACTGCGAATAAATTATTTTCATTTTACTAAAAAAAAGAAATTCATGAAAGTTTTTAAAACATCTTTAATTTGAAGGCCCATTAGTATTTTTCAAAGTAGAAACAATACATTTATCAATAAAGTTGTTTGCGTTTAACTTCTTTGCCTTAGGTAACGAGTTACAGAGTCGGTTGAAGTGTTTCAATAATTATGATCTTCAAACATCCTCCACACTTAAATACTTTTGTTTTGTTTTCCTTCACTGCCATCTGACATATGTCTCTAACTAAATCATAAAAATAATATTTTTACTATAATTATCCCAATTTAGGATAAAACGCGACTTAGACGCCATATTAGTTTTGTATTTCTGTGAATTAGGATTTTAAATAACGTTGCAGTTTGTACTAAATTAGGCTTCTAGCCAACGTCGGTATCCAACGTCGTTTCGACCCAAAAATTATTCTCCAAACTAGTGCAGGCTAGGGTTGGCACGAGGTTGTGCCGATGTTGCGCCCCGACGTTTGGTCGCGTGAGACAACGTTGTCCCGACGTCCAAATGCTGCTTGGGTAAATATTATGATTTGTGGAAACTCACACACGTAATTTTTCGGATCGAGCCGACCAGACTAATTTTGACCCGAGGATATCGAATTTGCTATCAAAAAACTGTGGTATACGCGTGTATGTATACCATAATTGAGACGTATGTCACAAATACTACTACTGTACACACAAGGTGTCACAAATATGGTCACACATCTATACAAAAGTGCTCCGTTTGTCTGTTAGAGGTCGCCAATCAAAAATTAATCATTATTTGTCAAACATTAATTGTACTAGCATAAAATTGCTTATTATTTATAATAGTAAAACGATTTAAAATCACTTCACAGTTCTTCATTATGTTTTATTTCAGGACATTATTATAACGCATCTCCCGAAGAGATGCGAAAACAATCTACCAAGCACTCGATACGAAGATGCATAGCAAGGTACAAAGAGGGTATTGCGAAAGTACCTGGCAAAAAGAAACCCGCCTTGTGGAAATTATATCTGGACACCTTAATAGATCTTCAGAAAGACAATCCTCGTGTTGCAAACGTTTTTAAAGTAACGCCAAAATGCTTAATAATAAATCGGTAACGTTTGCTGATTACGTTTCTTGTTGTGCTTACAGGTAAATTCTTTAAGAGAGGCTTTGGAAGAAGCTAAAATGATGAAGATTCCAATGGAAGAACTACATTGGAAGGCGTTGGTGGATATCTGTGCAGGCAATGATGAACTTGTTATGGAAATTCTAGTTGAAGGTACGTTTAATGGTCTAAGTAAATCTAACACCATAGTATAAGGAAACTAGTAGTTTTACTCCTTGTCAAATCCTTTGTTCTTTTTCTGTCACTTTATCAGACCTTGTTCTCGCCTCCCGTAACCACTAACGTAGCTGTATAGTCGTGGTCTATTAACTAGGCAAAGTATAGTCGTGGCACTCGCCATAGTTTCACAGATATGTATTTAGGAAAATATGATATTCACAATAAAATAAAATAAAAAAAATTGATCATCGAGTAAAAACTTGCTTGAAAACAGAATATTTTCACATTTCGTGTAGGTAACAATTCATCTGTATCTGAAATCTTCTGATGGGAAGAAATGCGAAAAAAATGTAAGACATATTTTTATATTATTATCTATTTCAGAGATTTCCTACAACTTTTTTTTGATTTAAAACAAGTTTAATTTTCTGTAGATAACTGGATTCAACATAAAATTCTGCATATAGTACACTGTCTTTATTTAAAGAACACTGCGGTGTTGCCATTCTATTTCTTATTTACTAAAACTTTGGTTAAAAACATTATATACGAAAAGTGGTAAAAAACTAGAGTGAATATAACTTTATTAATACTTAGCTATGTTTTCTTAAACATGAAGGATACCAGAATAAATTCGTGTAGAAAAATTTACTTTATCATATACAGGATAATTTTTATGGCGTCACCAAAATCGTATTATTTAAAATGTTGTATCTCATTTTTTTTTAATGCAACACCTTGTATATTATTTTTCTTTCAGATGTAGAATTAAAAGGTGAACATTTTTTGTATTTAAAGTATTCTTAAATTTTTAGCCGTTTTGCAAATATTTTCTGTATTTCATTACATATGGGATTTTCAACGATAAAATATCAGACAAAGATCATTCTAGCTGGTTTTGATAAAAATTTACTGTTGAAAGAGCTATATATAATATAATACTGCGAATATCTGCAAAACCGTTAAAAATTTAGAAACACTTTAAATTAAAAAAAATTTTCACTTTTTAATTCTGTATCTGACAGAAAAATAATATACAGAATGTGGCATTTAAAAAAATTGAGACATACTATTTTAAATATTCCGATTTTCGTGACGCCATAAAAAATACCCTATATAGAATAATGTATATACAGGGTTGTTCACCACATACGACACGGAGTATTGTAGCTAAACGATGAGATTTTTACAAATTTTAAGTCTTGGGTTCGATGAAGGACTATTAGAGGTACAATTTAAAATAATTTTACAAGATACAGTGTCCCAAATAAGTAAAAAATATCAAAGTTGTATTTTTTTAAATGGAACACCCTGTATATTATTGCATTTTTAGTTTCTAGGATTAAAATAAAGGTAAATTTGATTAAGGTTTATTATAAGGTTTAAGCTTACCGTTTTTGAAATATTTTCAATTTTGTGAAATTGCAGTAAAAATTTTAAGGCTTCATTCCTCCAAGGGTACCAAAGTTTTTAATACTAAATATTTACTGAAGTTTATTTATTGATTAGTTATTGTGTTGCAATAATAAAAATAATACTACCTTATACAGAGTGTCTAAAAATTTATTTTAAATAATTATTACCTTCAAACGGCAATAACTTGTTTAATTTAAATGAAATACCCTGTATATTTTACGAGAATCAGATGCACAATTTAATTGTCTATCAAATTATATTATACCATTTTTTACCTATCTCTTTAAGTTTCCGTAGAAAATGCACAATTTGCATTTTCTTGTAATTTAGAATTTATTTATCAATATACCTATGGAATATTGACATTTTAGATTATTTTTAAAGATGTACCAAATTTTTAAAGAGTACAGATACTAATATTGTGGATATAATTCATTTATTTCATTAAAAAATAAAAAAAAAACTGTTTAAATATTTGTTAAAAAGGACCAATTAATATGATTCCAGTATTCAAACTACATTAACTGACTGCATTGATTAATAATAATTGTTCCAAATACTAAAAAAACTGAATTTTGTATGGGTATTAGACAGTGTGATAAAAAGTAACACCTTAAAAATGATATTTCATTTTTTAATAAATGCTTATTTGTAACAACAGAGACTTTAATTTTGATAACTTATTATTATTGATTTATGATCAAATAAGTATTTATTTAATTAATAATTCTATTAACGAATACAATTAAGTATGTAATTAATTAGTATATGGGCGGAAATAATGGTGCTATATTTAATTAATGGTATACTCTTTTATAAAGATTTAAATAGTTTTCTTTTTTGCATACAACATTATTGTTTTTAGCAAAACGATAATATTACTAGAATGTCAATATATGATGTCAATATTCCATAGGTGTCAATAATAAAATGTCAATATTCCATGGGTATATTGATGAATGAGGTCTAAATTATAAGAAAATGCATTTTCTACGAAAACTTGAAGGGATAGGTAAAAATGGTATAATACAATTTGATAGACAATTAAATTGTGCATCTGATTCTTTTAAAATATACAGGGCGTTCCATTTAAATTAAACAAGTTATTGGCGTTTAAAGCTATAGATTATTTAAAATAAATTTTTAGACACTCTGTATAAGGTAGTATTATTTTTATTATTGCAACACAATAACTAATCAATAAATAAACTTCAGTAAATATTTAGTATTAAAAACTTTGGTACCCTTGGAGGAATGAAGCCTTAAAATTTTTACTGCAATTTCACAAAATTGAAAATATTTCAAAAACGGTAAGGTTTAAGTGTAATAAACCTTAATCAAATTTACCTTTATTTTAATCGTAGAAACTAAAAATGTAATAATATACAGGGTGTTCCATTTAAAAAAATACAACTTTGATATTTTTTACTTATTTGGGACACTCTGTATCTTGTAAATTATTTTTAAACTGTACCTCTAATAGTCCTTCATCGAACCCAAAACTTGAAATTTATAAAAATATAATCGTTTAGCTACAATGCTTCGTGTCGTATGTGGTGAACAACCCTGTAGAATGATGTAAAATAATTAAAAAAAAAACTAACTTTACCGTAACTTTTTTTGTGACACCCTGTATATAACAAAATATTTTAGGGTACGCCCCTTTATAAACCTTGAAACATATCAATAAAACTTTTTTCACATGTTCGACAACGACGACGATATTGGACTTCCTCGCACTAATGGGCCACCCTGTATATTTACGGTGGTTTAAAGCTAGGTGTGGCACTTTTCTTCCCTCAAATGTAAACTCAATATTTTGTCTATAATATTTTGAATATCGTTATATTACGACCACTTATAATAAAAAATAAATAAAAAAACATAAAAAAATACAGTCCACTAAATTTATAAGAGATTATGCTATTATAAAATTCTTTCAATTAAAAAATATGAATAATTTGCGGAGACTTTAGATGTACAAAATATTTACTCTAAAATTGTTTCAAAAAACAATCTATATAAAATATCTCGTAAATTATTATTGGAATGAAAATTTTATGGGAATTCCCTTGACCAAAAAATATTTTCATGCGCATATTTGAGACAACCTGTATATCTAAAAAACTATTTTTAAAATTTGTCCACATGCTAAAAAAAATAATAACATTTAATTAATTACATAATATCTCAGCTTCTAAAATAAACAAATATAATTAAATGTTAATTGATAATTACTATCAGCTTGCCGATTTACATCCGATGGAAATCTAAAAAAACTCAAAGAACAATTTTTTGAATTATTACTACAATTAATAGCAGCACACAGTAAGGCACTCATTTTTTGTCAATCCGTCTCTGTGCTGGGACGCAACGCTCGAACCTCGCAGCTCGACGGACGGAATTCAACTGAAACGCCACAGAAACGCTTTGCAACCTGCCGATATTCGACAGATTGCAAAAACTGACAGAAAATATTTGCGAGAGTGCAACTACTCTTTTCCTTAAACTATGCTAACACTATAATATTACCAAACTCAAGTTCCTAGTTACTTTTCGCTAGTACCAGACTATCTTCAATTTTGATTTTTTTCAGGCATATTATTATGTATCTATTAGCCTTGTTTATATATTCTTAAAGTTGTTCAACCGACTAGACAAAATGTGCTGCCAACTGGAGGACAAATCGTGAACCTTTCGGGGCGGAGTCAAAAATATCGATTATTTTCGTTATTTTCCTCAGAGTAATGTAATAATATAGCCTTGGTTTCTGCATCTTTAATAGTGATCAGCTGATGATTAAGAAATTTAAATGAAACTTTTATTTTATTGTAGATTGTGGATTATTTTTGCCTGTTATTTTAAAAATTATAAACTGTATTAACAAAGAAATTATTATTTCGATATGTTGGTACATGTTTTATAATTTATGATAATGCTAATTACTGTTAATTAATATTTAGAAAAAGTTACATACCGACTTTAATTTGATCTAATGCAGGTTTATAAAAGAATCATTTCATTCTTAGATTATTTTATTCTAAATTGAGTGTTTTACGAATTTTACGATATTTTTTTTGAAAACATTAAACTTTTTACATATTCTTCATTAAATGTTCAAAAAATTGCAACTTGCTTAAACAAAAATTGTAAATATGAATTTTTTAAATGAAGAAAAGCGTGTAGAGGATTATTGGTTCAACGTTTCTTGGCCATACATTTTCCAGGATACGTTGACCGGTGAACGTTATTTACGTTTTTTAGAGAACGGTTTTCAAGACATGTTAGGAAAAGTTAAATTTAGATAGTGGCGCATTAATAGGGTGGTTCCAACATGACTTTCATTATGACACCTCCCCCCCCCCCATTATGAAAGAAATGTTAAAAATTATTTATATCACAATTATGCAAACTCAGGGATCGGAAGAGGTGGACCAATTGCATGGGCCCCCTCGAAGAGGCGGTACGGGAGAACATTTTCTAAAATAACTTAAGTGTATGGGGTTAAGTTCTAGTTTGCGTAATGTAAATCGTAAAGGACCGTTTAATAATATATTCTATGTTTTTATGTTATAAATCATAACAGAGTAAGAATACCATGCTAACTAAGTGAAATTAGCCAAGAAAGAAAATAATTGGCTATAACTATAACTCTGTATCTAACTGTAATATCGCCGAAAAGCTTAAAAATGGCGATTTTTATGAAGTCATGGCCAACTATGGTCAAAAATTATACCTAGGCTTTAGAAAAAATCAGAAAACGCAAACTCATTAGGTATGTGATTATCTACAAATTTTTGTCTAAAATAGTTTATAATGGAATTAGGGACAAGTTTTAAAATAGCCAAAATTTGTTTTTTTTTTGAAATATCTAGTAAGCGATAAACTTTTTCAAAAATCCGAAAGGCGCATATTTATGGCCCCACAAAACTGCAATTCTTTCCCCATTAACTGACTCTCTATCTTCAGTAGTTTCCGAGATGCCCATATAGAACATCGTAGGAAACTCACCCTGTATAGTATTTTGAAACTAACTATTATTATTATTTGACTAATTTAATTTGATTAATAAGGCTAGATTAATTTAATTTCAAATAAATTTGATCAGATTTTTTTTCGTACATTCTGCTACCAGAAAACCAAGATTATATGATAACGCACTTTTCAACGAAGTTGAAGGAAGATATAGTGTATCTATCACAATACTTAATAGAACTACTACAATTATTACAAGAAAAACAAAAAGAAGAAATACCCAAATACCCCTTCACCTACTACTCAACTACAAAATAAACGAATATAATCTCTTAAAAACACTACACAACTACTTATCCTTGTATTCTACACTGAACAAATTATCAAACTTACTAACTTATCAAACAAAAAGAAAAAATAACAAAATTATCCCTTCACCTACTACTTAACTACAAAATAAACTATAAAAACGCTACTAAACTATTTTTGGTAGACTACATTAACATGAAGAAAGAGAAAAGAAACAGAACTTCCATACGTGCAACCAGGATAATAGGTCAAGGGGACAAAGAATATAAAATACTTTAAAATGTGCATTCAGAAAGAAAAAATACCTGGAAAATTATCTAAACAAACATTTTTATTTCTTATCAGTGAGAAGCATCGGCCTTGTCGGAATTGAAGAATTTGTCGGGTATTTACAATGGTCGAATTGTATAATTGCCAGATTTTATAGCATATCTAATAGACAAAAAGTATCTGGTCGATTAGTAACCAATTGGCACAGTCCGAAAATTATCGATTTTTATTTTCTCTGTTTTTATTGGTAGTTTCAAAATCAGAGTAACAAAAAACATTTTTCTGTAGGGAAACCGGTCCTGCCATCTAGTAGTCTTAGTCCATAAACGTCTTAGGTTGATCTACTTTAAAAATATATATACAAGGCTATTAGCACAGAATATGTAGCTACGCAACAGAAGCCTCGTTACATGTATAAAATTGTAGGTAGCAAAAGGAGACAGGCTTTTTGGGCAGGGTTCGGAAAACTACATGTTACTTTTAAAAACTGCATAAACTACATTACATGTAGTTAATGCAGTTTATGTAGAGGGTGTAGTTTATGTAACATATGTATGTAACTTTCAAATGTCAAAGGTATGAGGTGAGGTTATAATAAGTTAAAGCTTTAGAAAACACAATGTATTTAAGAAAACAGAAGAAATATGGCTTTAAATATAACCATTTACATAATATTATTTAGACTCTTCATATAAAGTAAAATTATTCATAATATCAATAGGTAGTTTATTAACGTAGTTTTCATGTAGTTAACGAACGGGAAAAGACGTAGTTTTTAAAGAAAAACTACACGTAATTAATCAGGTAAATTACGTCTTAATTAACTACTTCCGAACCCTGCTCCGGGGGTCATGGCCGATCAGGTTCCTACGTAAAGACTACACTGCTGATCAGTAACATATTTATATCTATATCGATTTTTATTAAAATTATTACAGTATACAGGGTGTCCCAGGCTGAGCGTGCATTAGAAGTTTCTTGAGAACCACAATATTTAGATCGAAGGTTTTTTGCACATCATTACAACAAGATCTATCGATTAAAAGTATCTTCAACATGGCGGCACTTCCGGAAATACCAGAAGTTGACAGTAACTTTCTTATTTTAAATGAGTGTCCCCATTTTTTTATTACATACTTAAATTATCTGTAAAATTCTATGAATATTGATGTTAAACACTCTATATCTAACATTAAGAATTTTTGGACGAAAAAAACTACCTATCAAAAAAATTTAAATATTTTTTTTTCTCAAAAACGTTTAAAGTTAGGTATAGAGTGTTTAATATCAAAATTCATAAAATTCTACAGAGAATTTAAGTATGCAATAAAAAATGGGGGCACCCATTTAAAATAAGAAAATTGCTGTCAACTTCCAGTACTTCCGGAAGTGCCGCATAATGAAAATATTTTTAATCGATAGATCTCGTTGTGAAACAATGATATGCAAAAAATCTCGAATCTAGATATTGTAGTTCTCTAGAAACTTCTAATGCAGGCTCAGCCTGGGACACCCTGTATAAATACTTGAATTTTGTCATCCATATACATACGTCATTCAATTTTTGCAAGATGTACATTAGAAGTATATCATTATCTGAACAGACCGGGAGCCACATTTAGCTTCGCCGCCCCGGGCCCCAGACTGGCTTAGTCCGCCACTGACTTGTTAACAAAAAATCATTATGATACGTTCAACTCATGGTTTTGTAGGAACTTTACTGCTCTACAAAAATGGTTTCTTATGATTAGTCGATTAAATTAACCGTTTAAAAGATATTTATCGTCTTCTATGTTAAATCTTGTATTTGTTTCACAGCTACCAGATGTCGACCGTCTTCGGTACAGCTATGGTTGTTGTATTTGAAGTTCTGTCTACTTAGAAACAATTTTAATAAAGCCGAAGTGGTTTTTGAAAGGGCTATTACGTCGCTGGGCCATAGAGCGGTCCCCGTTTGGGATTTGTACATCACAACCCAGCAGCTTTATTCAGATGTTAAGACGGAAGAGTTATTTAAGAGAGCTACAGCTGAGCCGTACGAAGAAATAGCGAGGTGAGTGAAACGTAATTCATATTATGGCGCCCAACGTTGGGCGCCATAATATGGAATCGTAAGTCATACTATGGTGCCCAACGTTGGGCGCCATAATATGTCTTAAGGCGCATTCTCACGACTCGTGTACTTGACAAACATTTGCTATTGGAATATACTCTTGTGCAATGTGCAATTTGTCACTCGTCGCCTTCCCACTCTCTGTCGGTAAACATAGCCCGAGTCAAAGGATCACAATTATTCGTATGCTCGCCAAGCGTAGCCTTGGCCAGCATTGGCTATACTTGCCGAGGCGCACAAACGACTGCGCAAATAATTGTACTATTATAGCGTATGTCAATAGCGAGTCGTGAGAGTGTGCCTTTACATATAATATGTAATATGGCTTCTGTCATAATATGGCGTTATGGATTTCTTCATTTTAGAGAATTCAAACCGAGATATTTGAGGTGGAGCGCCATGTTTAATCCTGATCCTAAGTATTTTCGAAACGTCTATTGGGAGTTGGCGCTTAAACCGCCCTTCACCAGAGAACTGCACCGGGAAATGCTAACGTTGGAACGTATAGACGGCCGAGACCATTTCAAACAACAATTCGCGGTGTTCAAATTGTACAGCGAACAGTTCGGCGACGATATCGACGTATGGCTGGATTGGATTGGGACGATATGGGAACAAAAGTACGTTAGAGTTTTCAAAAACTTACGAAAACATTTAAAACAACTTAATACCTAAGCCGATTTTTTATGTTTTAGCAAACCAGATCAAGACGCCGAAGCGACCAAAGTATATGAAAACGCTGTTGAAAAATTGCCTCAAATAAAGATACAAGAATTTATCGAGAAATACCGCGAACGCGATATTGACAAGATGGTTAAAAAACTTCCTAGTTAATTTTCGTATATTACTAGTTAATAGATTTAAGTCTTTTTATGTGTAAACTTACAAATCTAGTAAATCTAGTAAACATGTACATATGCTTTTTAAATATACGTTTTGACTAAGAATATGTAAGAATAGTTCAATGGAATAGTTAGTTTTTTTGCCTTTACTAGTTGCTAGTCGTTAGGTCATTAAACAATCTCAGATCCATTTGAGGTATATCCTGCCTTTTTGCCTTTGCACCAACATTGATTAAAAACAATCGAGAGTGTAACCATATTAATAGGCCGGATAGTCCTAGCAGCTTAGACCTACAAATTAATAAAAGAGAAGAAGTGCAATTGCGACAACTTAACCTAAGTTTATGTTGTTGATTTTCTATCCGTGTTTTCTATTCATCTGTTATATGAATTTTGAAAGAAAAAGGTAGAAAATTTTAAATTTATATATTGGGTTCTTTTCTCGTTAAGCAGAGATTTAACAATTGAGGCAAATTTGTGCAGGTAACATACAGCCATGGCAGAAATATCAAATAGGAATATGGAGTTGATGACTGACGATATTTTGGAACTCAAAAAATGCGGTTTATTTACAGACGACGAAATTAAGTACGTATTTATTTTTATATATTTACTTGTCTCATTTTACAATTTATTTTAGCATTTTTACCAAGAAACTTACACAGTTACTATTCAGATTAAGTAAGAGTACAACACAGTTACAAGACTTTCGAGATTCGATTAAGTTTCTCAAGCTTTTATTAGACGAAGTACGACAGAGAACACGCGAAAAACAAAGTATAAAGACGGGCAGGCTAAAAATCATGATTATTCAAAGATTACAGTATTATTATGAGCACGCTCTAAGAAAGTTTTCTTCCAATTTAAATTTTTGTCTTGAATATTTAGATTTTCTTAGTAACCATTCGAGTTTAGATAATGAAGGAGCTAAACACGTATCCCAAATGATAGAGGTATTATTTTTTTTTAACTTTATATTATTTATTCTCTGTTTGCTTAATTTTAGAGATTTAATTCTCAACCGAAAGTGTTTGAAGAAGCTGCAGTTTGGTTTAAACAGAAGGATTGTCATGGAGAAGCTGTTAAAGTGCTTCTTAAAGGCATTGGAACTCATCCAAATGAACAGCTTTTATATCTTGACCTTATTGATCTAGAATTGAGTAATCCACAAGACATTAAAATAGCAAAATTTAAAAAATACTTGGACAGTATATTAAAAAATATTCCCGATTGTTCTGAAATGCTTATATATGTTTTGACATTATTAGAAACACATCCTAACCTATGTCCAGTTCAGGACTATATTTTGGATTTGTTGCTTCAAAAATACTCGAATGAAGAGAGAGTATGGCATACAATCGCTACAATGGAGTTGAAAGGTAAGCAGAATGGCTGAACATTTATGAATGGCTAAGATGATTGTGTGGGATTGTTCCCCTATAAGAACACTAAACTATGAGCACTAAACTTATGAACTAAAATGAACTGAAATATTGTATTTGAATTAAAATTATCACTTCACAGTAGTGTTTTATTTCAGGACATTACTATAACGCATCCCCTGAAGAAATGCAGAAAAAATCTACTAACTACTCAATACAAAGATGTATAGCAAGGTACAAAGAGGGTATTGCCAAGATATCCACCAAAAAGAAACCAGCCTTGTGGAAGCTATATCTAAATACCTTAATACACCTTCAGAAGGGCAATCCTAATAATGTTCTTAAAGTAATGCTAAAATGCTTAATAATAAAGTGGTAATGTTTGCTAATTGTGTTACTTGTTGTACTTATAGGTAAGTTCTTTAAGAGAGGCTCTTGAAGAAGCAAAAATGGCGAAAGTTCCATTGGAAGAACTACATTGGTATGCGTGGTTGGATATTTGTGGAGGTAATGAGGAACATATTATGAAAACTCTAGTTGAAGGTACGTTTAATAATCTAAGTAAATTTAATACCACAATATTATAATTTTTTGTTATGATATTTTTTTTCTGGACCGTACGATATTCCTCAATGTTAAATTTTCTATTCATTTCTCAGCTACCAGATGTCTGCCATCTTCGGAACAGTTATGGTTGTTGTATCTGAAGTTCTGTCTACTTAGAAAGGATTTTAGTAAAGCTGAAGAAGTTTTTGCAAGGGCTGTTAAGTCACTGGGCCGTAGAGCGGCTCCTGTTTGGGATTTGTACGTTACAGCCCTGCAGCTGAATTCAGATGCTAAAACAGAGGAGTTATTTAAGAGAGCCGTAGCTGAGCCGTACGAAGAAATAGGCAGGTGAGTAAAAAGTACAGTCTAACAAAACATCCTTGAGAGTGGTAGATATGTCTGTATATGTTATATCTGGTAGATATGTGAAAAATGGGAGTTCATGATGTCGATTCAGGTCTCTAATGCACCACTATATAAAAAGCATTATACTGCTTCCTTAATATTTTTATTCAAAATTTTGTATAGAGTCGTTTTCTCAACTAGAAACTATTTAAGTTTGGATTTCCTCATTTTAGAAAATTCAAACCGAGGTATTTGAGGTGGAGCGCCATGTTTAATCCTGATCCTGCGTATTTTCGAAAGGTCTATTGGGAGTTGGCGCGTGAACGGCCCTTCACCAGGGAACTGCACCGGGAAATGCTAACGTTGGAATGTAGGGACGACCGAGACGATGTCAAAAAACAATTCGAGGTGTTCAAATTATACAGCGAACAGTTCGGCGATGATATCGACGTATGGCTGGATTGGATTGGGGCCATATGGGAGCAAAAGTAAGTTACTACTGCTAGATTAGGTTAGATTCCTCAAGGTGGCTATTAGCCTGGTCTACTGCGACCTTTTTAGATCTATTATGGTCCTCTTCTGATCCTTAAGTTACATTCTCCAGTCCTAGTACTATTATATTAAAAAGGTTATTTAATCTTCTGGCCCTAAACCTGCGAACGCCAGTTCATAAAAATGGCGTATAGTGTATAGTATAAAAATAAATTGACTTCGGAAATATAAGTCCCAATCTATTCCATTTGATTCAGAAAAAAACACTATACTATACAGGGTGTTTCAAAAAACATGTGCCGTCTCTCGTGGGGAGATTCCTTACGGAAAAATAAGATTTTTTCTCATATCAACACAGGTCCGATTCTGTTTTGTTTCGAAGCTACAGGGTGTTAAAGTCTTATTATTTTTTCGATTTATTACAATTTTCTTCCGAGTACTTTTAGCGTTTCGAATGAAATTTTGAGAGTAATGGTTACAAATAAATGCGACATATTTTAAAGCTAAAAAAATGTGGATATGTTCACCAGGGACGTGCATATGGGCTATCACTGGAATATTTTTCTAAAAAAAGCATGCACGCCACTGACTGTTTTTTCTCTTGTTAGCGAAATAGTGTAAGCAGTTTAATACCGATTAAAAATTGCCTCTTGATATTTCGGCGATTTCGGCCTCCTTGATGAGATAAACACAATTTTATTAATTTGCCTTGATCCAAGTCTAATAGCAATCTTCAAAAAAAAATTAATATTATTAACTTAACAAAGTTTTAAATAAGTATTCATTGATTCCTCATCAAAGTATATGAAAAAAATTCCTATGAACTTGGGTATGGTAATGCATAGTTTTAGAGTTCCAGGATGTTAAAACTTTTTAAAATTAGGTTTTTGTAATTATCTTAAATACCATTATTTTTTTATTTGAAATTGTTGTAGGTTGGACTAATAGTATAACCCTTGTATAACTAATGGTAATAATATTTAATAATAAATTAGGTAAACTATACAGGGTGTCCCAGAAATGAGTGCAGATATTTTAAGAGGTGGTAGATCTGGTCAAAATAAACATATTTTCTCTTTACCATTTTTAAAATAAATTGAAAATAACTGAGTTATTTAACTTTGAAAATTTAAAAAAATAATCGCAACATTTTGAGAACCGCCGGCAGATATTGCCAACTACATCCAATTACCCGGATCAAGCCCGGATTTCAGTTAATTCGACGCACTGTGTTGCCATATGGACAAGAAAGTATATGTTTACAAGTAAGTCATAAAATCACAACACCTGAGGAGTTTGCAGAGATGCATTACATTTTTAACATTGTGATATTATTACATAAAATAAATTTAAAGTTAAATGTTTAAAAGTTAAATTGAAAAACTTACCCAACATTAAAAAAGATACTTATGACAGATCGATTAACTGCGACAGTTCTCTTTTTCGATACACACTTAACTAAAATACACTTCATTGTGCTGCTTTACTTGTACGTGCTATTATAAAAACTGCTAAAATAACAGTCCCCATTTTTAACTTAACACATTATTTTCATAGAGGCTTCATCACAATTTGAACCACTGATTTACAATTACACAACACCTTGAAAAGCACACATTACACATTACTTTGAATATCTTTCTTGAATAAATGTTGAGAATTATTGTCTCTTACCGCCACTTTACGAACTACTTTCAATCTAAGAAAATACATGTTTCACTCAACAATTTTAAATACGTATTTTCTTTTTCGCTATTTTTTCGATGTATTTCGACAATTCCGTCAACAGCCCAACCATCCGTCGGCCAAGACAGCCACGCATCACTGGTTGGTAACTGCTCACTGCTTCTTTGTCGCGCCGGCGTGTCGAGCTTGCGTCATGCGAGGTTGCCGTAGTTTCAACAATTTCAAATTCAAGACACTCGAAGCAATCAAATTCTTATTAAATTTTAAAAATAAAACAGAAAAACATGAAAGGAAACAAACAAAAATAAATGAATTGATAATTGATAAGGTCATAAAAAGAAATTTCTAAATTGTTTATCGTAATTCAGAATTCAATATATCGAAAACAGCCCGACGAATAATCAATTCATTTTCGTTTTGTTTGTTTCCTTTCATGTTTCTCTGTTTTATTTTTTAAAATTTAATACAAATTTGATTGCTTCGAATCTCTTGAATTTGAAATTGTTGTAACTACGGCAACGTTGCTTAACATCGTCGTCTGACGCAAGCCTGCCACGACGGCGCGGCTCAAAGGACCAGTTCACACGTGGCACTTTTGCCGACGCGCGACGGTCGGGCTGTCAAAATACATCGAAAAAATAGCGAAAAAACAAAATACGTATTTAAAATTGTTGAGTGAAACATGTCTTAAATTGAAAGTAGTTCGTAAAGTGGCGATAAGAGACGGTATTCAAAGTAATGTGCGCTTTTCAAGGTGTTTTGTAAATCAGTGGTTCAAATAAAACAGAGAAACATGAAAGAAAACAAATATTGAATTCTAAATTACGATAAACATTTTAGGAATTTCTTTTTTGTGACCTGGTTGTGAACAATATGATGAATCATTTTCGTAAACGTCATAAACGTAATGTTTTAGTTAATTTTCGGTGGTTTTTGTTAAGTTTTCATTGAAAGGGTAAGTACTAAACATAATTAATGTGTTTTTTTTTCTATAATAATTATTAATAATGAGCACTGATGAAAATTTAACATTCTTAATTTTTGAGTAGAAATTTTTCTATGAATTTATAAATGTAGAACTATGTAGAATGTGGATAACATAGGAGGTTACAACACTGCAAGGTTTAGATACACCGTAGAGAAATCTCAGGTGAATAAACAAGTGGCACTAAAAAGTTTTTTCAAATTTCCCGGAAAATGTCAAGAAAAATTTTAAATTTTCAACATTTTTTTTTCGCAAAAAAAACCTCATAGGCGTGTTTCTGGGATTGAACTATACTACCAGTTAAAATATCTGCACTTATTTCTGGGACACCCTGTATAATTCATTAATTTTATTTTTATTTTAATTTTATTGATTGTGATTAAAAAAATTGCGTTTATCTCATCAAGGAGGCCGAATTCGACAAAATATCAAAAGATAACTTTTAATTGGCATTAAACAGCCTACACAATTTTGATATCAAAAGAAAAAAAAGTCAGTGGCTAATGTTTTTTTTTCAAAAATGTTCCAGTGATATCCCATATGCACGTCCCTGATTAATTTATCGACACTTTTTTAGCATTAAAATATGTAGCACTTATACTAACTTTTACCCTTAAAATTTCATTTGAATAACTAACTAAAAGTAAAAGAAAATTATAATAAATCGAAAAATTATTAAGACTGTAACACCCTGTAGCTACGAAACAAATCAGAATCAGACCTATGTTGATATGAAAAATAAATCTCATTTTTACGTGAGGAATCTCCGCACGAGAGATGGCACATGTTTTTTGAAACACCCTGTTAAACCCAACTCTGTATAGAAAAATATAGGGGTTGAAATTAAAAAAAAAAAACATTACAACTTAGTTATTACTTTTTTGTGACACACTGTAAGTATACAACATAACTGAGTGAACATGATTGAATTGATCTATTTTAATATCTATATAAGTTGATTTTTAATGTTATAGCGCTCCAGACCAAAACGAAGAAGTGGCCAAAGTATACCAGGATGCTGTAAAAAAATTGCCTGAAATAAAGGTTCAAGAATTTATCGAGAAATACAACGAACGGGACATTGGAAGAGTGGCTAAAAAAATTACGAAATAGTCTTCGTATATCAATAGTTAATAGATTTATAATAAGTCTTTTTATGTGTAACCTTGCAAATTTTGTAAACATGTAAATATACTTTTAAATATACGTTTTGATTAAGAATATGTAGTTTTTTTCTTTCACTGTATATTAGTAATAATAAACATGTTTTTATCAAGTCAACAAACGGAAGAAAAAATATACCGGGCGACCCAGTATTTTGAAAAACAACATACAGGGTGTTTCATAAAACATGGGCCATCTGTTGTGGGGAGATTCCTGACGTAAAAATAAGATTTATTTTTCATATCAACATAGGTCCGATTCTGCTTTGTTTCGTAGCTACAGGGTGTTAAAGTTTTAATAATCTTTCGATTTATTATAATTTAAATTAAGTACTTTTAGTGATTCGAATGAAATTTTGAGAGTAAAAGTTACGATAAATGCTACATATTTTAATGCTAGAAAAGTGTCGATAAATTCATCAGGGACATATGGGTTATCACTGGTATCTTTTTCAATAAAAAAATATGTGCGCCACTGACTTTTTTTCTTTTGACATCAAAATTGTATAGGCCGTTTCATGCCAATTAAAAATTATCTCTTGATATTTTGTCGAATTCGGCCTCCTTGATGAGATAAACGCAATTTTATTAATCACAATTAATAAAATTAAAATAAAAATAAAATTAATAAATTATATATTTTACCTAATTTATTATAAAATATTATTACTATTAGTCCAACCTACAGCAATTTGAAATAAAAAATAATTGTATTAAAGATAATTACAAAAAAAACTAATTTTAAAAAGTTTTAAAAAGTTTTAGCATCCTGTCTCTAAACTATGCATTTCCATAACCATGTTTATAGGAACTTTTTTCATATTTTTTTGATGAGGAATCAATGAGTACTTATTTGAAACTTTCGCAAATGAATGATATTACTTCTTTTAAAGGTTGTTGTTAGATTTGGATCAAGGCAAATTAATAAAATTGCGTTTATCTCATTTAAGGAAGCCGAAATCGACATAATATGAAGAGACAACTTTTAATCGCATTAAACTGCTTACACTATTTCGCTGTCAAGAAAAAAAAAATCAGTGGCGTACATGCCTTTTTTAGAAAAATATTCCAGTGATAACCCATATGCACGCCCCTGGTGAATATATAGACACTTTTTTAGCTTTAAAATATGTCGCATTTATAGTAACTTTTACCCTCAAAATTTCATTCAAAACGCTTAAAGTAGTTGGAAGAACATAATAATAAATTGAAAAAATATTAAGAATTTAACACACTGTAGCTAAGAAACAAAGCAGAATCGGACCTATGTTGATTGGAAAAATAAATCTTATTTTTACGTGAGAAATCGCCCCACGAGAAATGGCACATGTTTTTTGAAACACCCTGTAGGTATATTGAGATTTTTATTCAACATTTTTACAACAAAATTTTGGAATCTCCCCACGAGAGATGGTGCGTTTTTTTTAAGCACCCTGTATTTAACAGGCTGTATCTTATGACCATCGATGGAATGGATACAAAAAATTACAAGATATCAATCAAGATAAAGTTTATGATGCTCAGTTCACTCACTATAGTCAGTGTTTCTTTGGACTTGTATCTGAACCAATAAATCTATGATCTGAACAGACCAAGATTTCTTGTCATGGATAACTTCGCCAAAAAGGTATTTTTGGTGCAAAACCTCGCTAAAAATTTATCCTGCTGTATATGTGGCGATTTGTTAAACATTCCTGTATATAACTGCACAACGGGGTTCTCTATGTGCAGCAAATGTTCAGATTCTGGTGAGTATAAATAAGGTTTACTATTAAAGATGGGGTTTTCATACATGGTTTTTTTAATTCAGGACAAAATATGATTAAGTTATGAATTTATTTATTTAAAGTTTGTCAAATGAGAGAATAGCAGGCAGTGAGAGCTGTCTGTCCTTTTAATTCTCCAGTGAATTGTATTTTCTGTCATTTTTTATGTCGTCTGACAATATTCTTTCCTGACTCGTTAGGCACACTGTCACACAGACTTTATTTAAAGCACATTGCATTGGAATTTACCCGGTATAGCCTAATATGAAGTTAAATTAACTATTGTACTTTAAATCAAATTAAAACTTGATCCAAAAAGTTATCCAGGGTGAGACAAAATAATATTGAATATTGGCCACCTTTAAAAGCACGTTACTCTCTTATTAGTTTGCCTACAACTCAAACAAAGATTTTCCTAGATATTTTCATTTACATGATTTGATCTGAGTAGATCTTTATTATTTGATAAAATCTAGGGGGCTGTGATATGTCTGACGTTACTTCAATATAGCTGTCTAATTAGTCTAACTTTAACAGCTAGTTATCATTTTGTGTCAATTAAAACAAAAAAAATTCTCAGAAATTTGCCGAAAATGCAAACTTATCCTACATCAGAGAGAATTGATATGATTCTATTAGTTGGTGAATGCAGTGTGCATTCTCCAACTCAATGGGCAACATGAGAGAAATTGTTGTAGCTGCTTTTCGAGGTAGAACTCCACATATTATGCTTTTTAAAATGAAAAAAATGCTTTTGAAAAGACAATCATTTTATGCAATTAACAGGAAAGGAAACATTATGAGCATTTCATTTCATCTAGCTAATTTTTGTTGCACAAGTTTATATCTAGTTTTAATTCTGTAATAATTAAAATAATATCTTTTTATTAACCTTGAGTATTTTACTCTAGAATCTTGAATTTTTGTTAAATTAACAAAAGGTTTATCACACAACCACCTAGATTTTTTCAAATAATAAAGATTTACTGACGCAAAATCATAAAAATTAAAGTATCTTAAAATATTCTGCATTATACAGTATGTCCCAGGATTGTCTTTACAAGAGGAGAGAAACTTTTTTATTATTGACGTTCTGAATAAAATGCAAAAATGCATTCAGTCAGAGAAAATTTCGGCAGATCACATTCAAAAAATGACAGAAAATACAATTGTCTGTGAACTAAAATGACAGGCACAACTGTCATTGTCATGGATCCTATCGTTGGACAGAGTTTTATATTCATATAGCGCACGTAGTCACAACAAAATAATTCACAAAGAATTATTGTCGGGCATCTTTTTTAAAGAATGTGATTTTTTAGATGCTTTGTGTAGGTTGTGCGGATACATCTGTAGCAATCGACGGAACAATCACTTGGAGAGGATATTAGAATATCTAAGAAACGATTTAAAACAGTATTCTGAAGATGGGAGACCAATAGGGGGGCTTGTAAATAACTAGTTATTGATCTGAGTTTGATTTAAGATTGTTTCTTCTGTCAATGTCATTTTTAATTGACAAATCTACCCTATTTAAGTAGATTATATGTCTTTTTTGTTGAGTCAGAGTCAAACCATATACTATAAATATGTTTTAATATGTATATTTTTATTCCACTAGAGTTTTATTATTTTATTATCAAGTTATATTTGTGTTTAATGACAGTGTATTGTGTAAAGATATTAAATACAATTTTAGAAATTAATTCATACTGGGTATTTTATTTAAGGAACATAATTAGAAAATAAACAGGGTGAGTCTTAAATAAGTGTACGCATTTTTAGGGGTAGTATACCGGGTGTTTTTCAAAAGTAGCTCACACAAATAACTTTTTGAAAATGACGAAATGAAATCAAGGAAAATATACGTTTTCAAACTAAATCTTAAATAACATAAAAACGATTTATTTTAGGTATAGGAACATGTATAGTTAAAAAGTAACGAATTGAAAAACCGTTTCATTAGTGAAATAAAAAAAGTGGGTTTCCATTTGAAAAAAATTATTTATGATAATTTTTTAATCACTCAATTCCATGACAGATACCGCCATTATTATATGACATTTGAACTATTTAATTTTTGAAATAAATAGCCACATGTCTTCTCTTTATGGCACAGTGGCTGTGGTAATCACTTAATTTGACGTTTAGGATATACACATATTTTTGACAGGCAGTTTTTTTTCGTTCAAAAATTTTAAATATTTTTTTTCTCAAAAACTGTCAATGTTAGATATAGAGATATGATATCAAAATCCATAAAATTTTACAGAGAACTTAAGTATGCAATAAAAAATGTAGGCACCCATTTAAAATAAGAAAGTTGCTGTCAACTTCCGGTACTTCCGAAGTGCCGCCATATTGAAAATATTTTTAATCGATAGATCTCGTTGTGAAACTATGATGTGCAAAAAATCTCCGAGCTAGATGTTGTAGTTTTCTAGAAACTTCTAATGCACGCTCAGCCTGGGACACCCTGTATGTCCCCGGACTGTCTTAACAAGAGGAAAAACTTTTTTATTGTTGACATTTTGAGAAAAAAATTCCCCTTAAATAATATCGAAATATACTACCCCTATAAATATTTTCGCTTATTTAGGACTCACTCAGTATAAATAACTATTTTAACAATAAACGTCTGTTTTTACATCAATGATTTATTTATTGAAATATATAGATTACATGTTCAACATTTATTCCATTTTTTTGTTCACTATAATTATTGACTGATTTAAATATATACTTTATTGCGTTTATTTACAAATTCATATTTATTAAAATTTAGGTATATAAAAAGAAGTTCTTACTAAAACGCTTTTGGCTCATACAATAAAAATTGCCAAATAAATTAATACAGCACAAACGTATTTTATAAACGAATTTGATTGAAGAAGATTTGGTGTTCACCCTGTATATATATATCTTTTTATTTTTAGTATGCTTAAAAAAGGAATGTGTTAATTGACGATCAAAATATATTTTTTTGTATAAACCAAAAAACGTTCTATCACTTACATTCAAATAAAAAGCTTTCATATATAAATATAAGTATATTTTACAGGGTGTTCATAATTTGGTTATACATTTTTGAACTATTTTGACAAGATTTCTCTACGGAATACATACAGCGTGTTCAAATTAATTGGAAAAGTTTATTTTAAGCTTCTTAATTTTTGTTGTTCTTATAAGTTTTCTTGATTTCTTCTGGCTTGTGTTCTTGAACGAATTTTAGATATTTCAAGCTGCCCTGTATGTTTATTACCTTATTAGAAGTTTTTATATGTATTATATATCCAATTATCTTGAACACACTGTACAGTATGTCCCCGGATTGTATTTAAAAGAAGAAAAACTTTATTATTGTTATTTTTTTGAGAAAAATTCATTCTTCATAAAAATTGCTTTTTCTAAAATGGTTAATCCCGTTTATACTTTTCCAAATTTTCATACAGTTTTAGAGAAAAATAAAAAAATATGAAAATATTGTTGACTTTTTCTTAAAATCCTAAAAATCAAAAGACGTTTCAATGGTAATATCATTACATTTTCATTTTTTGATAGTTGATTGTTATTAATTTTGATTAACGTTATATTTTTTGCTGTGACAATAATCAGAATTAATAACAGATACTAATAACCATCTATCAAAGAATGAAAACCTAAAAACGATATTGCCATATAAACGCGTTATGATTTTTAGGAAAAAATTCAACTATATTTTCATATTTTTTGTTTTTTTCTCTTTGGGAGAATGTTAATGCTTAAAAAGTTTTTTCTCTTGAACAGACGATCCGGGGACATACTGAATATCTACATGTTTTTTTTTCCAAAAATATTATGCATGTATATAACATCTACAAAATTATGTTTATAATTTTTTAAATGGCATTTTAGGCCTAAACCTAACAACTTCTCATGTTGCCTAAAATTACTGGCTAGATTTCTTACGTCACTTCGGCGAGCCCGTTTAATATTAACACCCTGTGTTGGAGCAAATTTCGTCATGTTTTTTAAAAAATCAGTCTGACTAAAATATGCAGTTCTCAATTCGCAGTAAAAATATAATGCACATTTTTATCCATATAAAGTAATTTTTCTATTTACTCAGGACATAACTTCTTCAATATATCTGTATATCTTTGTGTTGTATAATATGTAAAATCTATTCTAAAATTTCTATAATAAGGATATAAACATATAACGATAGTTTTCTATATTCTATTATAGAAAATATTTATTAAATTTGAGCAAAATTTCAAAAAACAGATGAATGAAGAATCTAGTTAACTTTAGAGAAAAATATGTATATATTTCTCAAATAGAATATGAAAAACTATCTGAGCTACGTTTTTCTGTTTAAATTATTTTTATAAATTCCAAAAAATGCCGTATGATTTAATGAAAATGACGCCATAGTAACCTTATAAATAACAGTTTTACTGTATCTATTGCTAGTACCATACTACAAACGTTAAATTTACACTAAATGAAATATAGGGTTTGTTTTAAGTACAAAACCCACAATTTTAACAGAAAACAAAGGTATTTTATAAACAATTTATGTAACTTTAAATATTTGACAAAATCTATTTCTAAGCTTGTGTATTACGTCACTTTTATTCAATCACATGGTTTACAGAGCTCTACGTTATGTACAGGGTGCTCTAAATTGAAGAAGCTGAGTCCGCGTAAACTAACTTAAACCTTATATATCTTTATTTAAGTGAAAAACATCAACAATATATTAACAGCAACAACAATTTAGCAACAATTTTCCTTTTTTTTGCGCAAGATTTCGGAAAGAACATACAGACATTAGGTGAGTTACGATTAAAGCTATTAGTAGGACAGTACGCATGATAAATTATTCACATATCTATTTATAAATACATATACAGTGTGGTTCATAAAGTCTGCAGTAGCTCTTGTTCATTTTGATTAAATTTTTGAGGCATTTTTGCAATAAAAAAGTTAGAATTTTGTTTTACAGCGACAATAAAATTTTAATTTTAACATTCATCGATGTCCGTCAATAAAATTATAAATTATAATCCCAAATCAAATGACAATGACAATTACTAAAAAGAATTTGCAGTAATTTACATAATGCCGTAATGGCGTCATCAATCTCTTTCATCTGGTTGGTAAGTGATTGAGAGGGTTCGACGATATATGACGTGACGTTGAACGATAGCTGAACTTTCTATATACAGGGTGGCCCGTCGAAAACGTTCCGCAAGGCATAACGGCCAGGGTATTTTTTTTCAAAAAATCCAAAAACACGTCAGTTTTGTTTATGAGGGGGACAACTTCTGCCCCAAAAATTATTGCAAAATCTTCAACCCTCTAAGCGGGGGTGTCATCCCCCAACTTTTTACAAATGGAAAGGGGGGTCAAGTGGCGCCGCAATGAAAAGAGCTTTCTATTCTCTATATTCCCCCGCCTCGTTTTTGAAAATCGGTCGAGTCATTGAGAAAATATGAAGGATTGAAATTTGAAAAGTTTATTTAAACATTTATCAGAGTAAATGATAAGGGTAAATTCCTTCGACCAATTTGCTATTTTTTTCTTATTATTTCTAGATGTTTACGCATTTTTTCACTTGCCACAAGGTTGAACGATCAGGTGCGGCAGTTGCTAGCTGTTCTGTGACTTGTGCGTTGAAGTTCTTCTCAATATCGTTAAACTGACCCCCAATAGAATTTCCAAAAATACCAGCCCACACGTTCAATTTCTGAGGGTTTTGTGCAAAACTGGCAACGCTGGCGCGCAGTGAATAAGTATTAATGTTGTAATCGCGGAGAAATTTTTTGAGTTTTTTGTGGTTCCTAGCTAGAATAAATTAAATACAGTGTTACAAGTAGTTGACAAAGTAAGTCTTTAGTCTTTAAATAAAGAAGTGCCATAATTAGAACGGCTAATCATCTTTAAAAAGGCAAATTTGTTAGAAAACGCCCCGCCGTGGTCAATAACTTTGGACTTTGAACCATCACATAAATCGATTAACAATAATTATTTGACCTAGTTTTGGACAAGTACAGCGGACGTCGTTGCCAATTGCAATATTTTTTATTTGAGTAACAGATATTATAATATATAATATACACCGTAAGAATGGTAGATACGCTCATATTCAAACAATTTCAAGAAATCAAATCTTTAATACAGAACAGCAAAAAAGAATTAAAAGAAGACATTAAAACGGTGAGAGAGGATTTGTCAATTCAAACGGAAGTTCTAAAGGAGAGTATTACTGTAATACAAAGTAAATTAAACGATATAGAATACAGGGTACAAGCACTAGAAAAATTAGCTAGGAAGAACAATTTGATAATATTTGGGCTACGGGACCACAGAAACCTAAAGGACTTTGAATTAGCTACTTGGGTAACCGAGCAACTAAGAAATCTGTTAGAAGTAGATATAAATATAAGCGATATAAACAATTTATACTACTTAGGAAACGACTCAACGAAACCGCTACGTATAGAACTCAATTCATATTTAAAAAAGGCATTGATTCTTCGAAGCGCCTATAAGCTGAAGGGAAAGAACATTTTTATTAACCACGATCTTTCCAAGAAAGAGAGAGTGGTGAACAAGGTACTCAAACAAAATTTAAAAGAGGCAAAGGAAAAGGGTTTAAGGGCGTACATTAAAAGGGATACTCTTGTAATTGGCAGCGAAACTTATAATTACGAACAAT